TCATCATTATTTTACATTGGTAACAAATTTTAAAACTATCATTGTTGCGTTTCACAAAAGCAAACTTCTTGAAGTGTTTTTTTAAGATGCGCCGTGAAAAACTCTACATGATAGTACGACTTCTCACCATAATAAAAAAAGGTTTGGAAGAAGAATAGAAATAATAGATTTTTTTAATATTTATTATCAATATTCTAACAAAATGGTAACAATAAAATTATTCAACTTCTTTATAATAAACATGAGAAACGTTGAAAAAAAGAGATTTTTCTGACAATGAACGTTGGGAATAAAGTGGTTTGTCATTCTATAAATTATCAGCTAATCAAAAGATTTCGTCGATTTAATCAGACACTTTTTTTTCAGTCTTCATCCTGTAAATTATTTTTGTGTTTGTTGTCTTTTTACTTTGTCACCTATAATATCAATTTGTTTGAGGTATATATTATGACTGAAATAAATTTAACTGCATAAATTTAACTATAAATACATTCAGAGTGAATATAATACTGATTCACATCTCACTCGTTTCTTTTTTATTGATTTAGTAAGAAATAAGTAAGTTTTTTCACAATATGCCTTGATGTTTTGTCGAGACTATCATTTGTTTTATAGAATTATGCACCTAACAAGAACATAAAAAATATTTACTTTAGAACGATTATTCATACGTTACCATTCGAATATATGTGGTTGGGAGCAACGAATGATTAATATTCTCCACATTTGTATTTATATCAGCTCAGTTATACAAATAATGATCTGTCTTTTATTAATCGTGGCTCTCTTTCAATAACTGCCATATATTATAAATTCGAGATGTTACTACAACTCATATATTATTTGGTGAATGATTAAATAGCTCGATTACATATTAAAAAATTCTGATTCAGTTCACAAAAGAAAATATCATTCTGTCTATATCGATTAATAAAGCTCAGCACTATTGAGATAACCACCATTGGTGCATCCACCAGTAACTAATATTTCTCCATTTGTTAATATGGATGCTGTGTAATATTCTCGTGCGATACTCATGTTTGCTGTAGTTGTCCATGTGCCTGTTGATGGATTATACAATTCAGCACTATTGAGAACACCAGCGCTGTTCTCTCCTCCAGTAACTAATACTGATCCATCTGCTAATGTGGCTGCTGTGTGACTAGATCGTGCGGCATTCATACTTCCAGTGGTTGTCCAAGTGTCTGTTGATGGATTGTACAATTCAGCACTATTGAGATAACCACCGTTGTATCCACCGGCAACTAATACAGATCCATCTGCCAACGTGGATGCTGTGTAATATCCTCGTGTGACACTCATGTTTCCTGTGATTGTCCAAGTGCCTCTTATTGGATCGTATAACTCAGCACTATTGAGATAACTACTGGAGTTACCTCCACCAGCAACTAATACAAATCCATTTGCTAATGTGGATGCTGTGTGATATTCTCGTGCGATACTCATGTTTCCTGTAGTTGTCCAAGTGCCTGTTAACGGATTGTACAATTCAGCACTATTAAGATAACCACCATTACCCTGTCCGCCTACAAATAATACTGATCCATTTGCTAATATGGTTGCTGTGTGAGCATATCGTGCGATATTCATGTGTCCCGTGGTTGTCCAATTGCTTGTTGATAGATTGTACAATTCAGCAATATCGATCGCAACAGCGCTGTTGGCTCCCCCAGCAACTAATACTAATCCATTTGCTAATGTAGATGCTGTGTGCTTTTGTCGTACGGCACTCATGCTTCCTACCATTGTCCAGGTGCCTGATGATGGATTGTACACTTCAGCATTACTGAGAAAAGTATCAATGTTGTTCCATCCACCAGCAACTAATACTGATCCATTTGCTAATGTGGATGCTGTGTGCCAATTTCGTCTAACACTCATATTTCCTGTCATTGTCCATTCTAGATAAGGCAGAAAAGTGAGAAAAAATGTTGTTCTGAAGATGACTTCCAATCTCTCATGTGCATAAGTTTTCTATCTATTGATCACAAATTAAATGATCTGAAATCTTCAATAACTTCTCTTGGTTTTCATAATTAAGATAAGATTCCCTATAAAATGTTAAACTAATTCACTGATATTTTTCGAGTCTCATCGATGTTACGAACTATGATGTCGATGGAAGGTGTTTTTCTCGAGTTTGACGTTTACATTTTATATTACTGCAATATTTTTTTTTGAATTACCCAACTCTATACAAATGCGACCTAAAACATGAGATTCGATGTTGATATACATGCCTTATGCCGATATTATATTAATGAGCTCTATCACACGAAAATCTTTTTACCAACAATATCTTCGTCTGATACTGCTAGACAACAAGAATATTCAATACTTAAATGAGTTTAGATCAAAAAGATTGGTGATCTACGCAAAGATATGTGCAATATCTTTGTCAAGATGGCTTTAGTTCTCGATAATGTTAAATTATTTCTGAAGAAGAAAATAATTTTTATCTCTCAGTGATATATTTTCTTGTAAATATGTTGTATTTATACTGACCCGGTGGGAATCGTGTTCCACTAATAACATACATACTAGTAGCATCGACATCAGCCAATATATTTCCATTTTGGTTCAACATATTATCAAATAATTCACAATTAGAAGTTGATTGATGAAAAGTTGCTGCTGTGCATTGACTATGTCCTAAACAGGCGAATTGACAATTTCTAATGTCTGTTGTAATAACGCTAATGAATGGTAAACAAGTTGTATTTGCACAGTGAAATTTAGAATCATGTATTAAAGACATTTGCTCTGATCGTATATCTTCTCCGACTATTTATGTAATAATCAAAAATAAAAGCCATAAATAAACTCTTGTTGAAGCCGTCAACCATAAGATTCTACGTTGATCAAATGAATTCTTTTTCTTCTTTCTTTTCAGTGGGTAGTGCATAGCTTTTTCCCAGGATGTATTTCATCGATCGAACGGAAAAACAGTCCTGATGTCTTTTTCCCAGAATTCATTTCATCAATTTGATCAAAAACAAAATTTATTTATTCCGAAAGATGATTTTTCTACGCGTGTAAATGTTATTGGAAGGCAAATATATTTATAAATAGCACTTTTTGCCTTATATAAAAGATAAAAAAACATAAAGAACGATCAATCTAACAAAAGTGAATTTGAAAAGAAAATATAATTAACATTTAGTTGGAAATGATTTTTTTTTAAATCTATCTCATCTTGAGGGTGTGAGCATGTCTATCTTCTCTGAATTCCCACCCACATTCATCCTCAAGATTTATATTTATGTAGAATAGTTTTAACATCCTATTTATTACGTAAATTAAAACAAACAGTATTTTTTTGTATTCCAAAGTTGGTTAAATATTGATTTATCATAACAAAACATTCTAATGTACTTTTTTCAATGAAATATAGTTCCTTGAGTAAATGTTTTCCTTATTTTTCTTTTATTTATTGTATGTTGCTATGGTGTTTTATGTATGCGGAACAAGAAACAGAGAACTTGTAAAATCATAATAATGTAAACTACGTTGTTTCACAAAAAGAAAATTGCATCTGAATAAAACAATGATGGAAACAAAAAGTTAACTTTTTCTCAATAGAAAACAGAATCTTCATGATTACACGTCTTTTCTTTCTCCTAATATTTTGCTGAAGAAAAGTAGGGGAAATATTCTTTCAATATATTCATCAATACAATGTTATTTAACCCGCATAAGAAATAAAACTAGAACTATTCAATTCATAAATATCTAATCCTTTATTAAAATATTTCAAACATGATAGATCAAGAACAGTAAAACAGTATATTGATTTGTCTTCTAAAGGGAAGAAATTCTCGTCGAATACCAGTGTTTCTAATAAGTCTACAATGAGCCACCATTTTTCATTCATTTTTATAATAAATATAACTTGAACAAATATCGGTTATTCGGGGAGTTTTAACAGATCGATTACATAAACGGTTAATCGACAGTATTTAACATTTCAACGACATGCTTATGACATTGAATTAAACTTTCTTCCATATCAATGCTGCCAGAATGCGTTCTCAGGACTTGTTTCATGTGATTATTAAAAAATCAGTTCGAATTTTATTGTATGCTCACCATAAAATCTATACTTTTCAAAAGGAATGATCGAATAATTTGAAACACCGTTTTAAACGCTAACATGTCTATAATATTTTTGCAATATTTTTGTAATTATTTGATCGACTTGTAATTTTTTAAAATATGCGTGATAAGCTTCGTATCTCAAACACCATTGTCGAATTGGTGGGCCAAAATCTTTGGTATCATTTTGTTTGAAATATGTTTTAGCATCGAATAATGAAAAGCAATACATAGGTCTTGTAGAATAGGTAACCATTGTTTTCGAAATAGTAATGATAAAACAAGATCAATAATGTCTCATAATTGTTTATAAATACAATAAATGATGGAGTATTGCACGTAATATCATGAAGAATCATTGGAAATAGTTTGAATAAGCATAGTTTCTGAGTAGCTGTGGTAGCGATTCGATCATTTTGTAAATGCTTGACTCGAATAAGTGGTGGCCGATTGCAAATATGCATATTTCCATACTGAGAATGTTTCATACGTTGTTGAATTCCAACTTGAAAAATAAGAACAGAATGAAATACATGTATTATATCGTATTTTTCCAGATAAAAATTTCTTGTTCTAAAAAGAATCAATTAGTTAAAGAAAATACGATCATTATTTTATCAATTAATAATTTCAATAAGTAAAGAATTCTATATGAACAAAAAATATATCAATTGTATGAATATTTTCTCATAATACACTAACTCATAATATAAATAAACATGAATTAATCTTTATCGAAGTCGAAATCAACAGACTAAATAAACTTAGTGTTTGTCAGCCTAAGAACTCCTGCGATACTCTCTTAATATTTAGCTTATCAGAATCGAAAGCAGAAAGCTAACTTATAATATCGTTGCTAAACACATTTCATTTAATGTGTTTAAAATGCATTACTAATTAAAAAAAACTTAAAGTAATTTACATTTAATATGCTTATCGAGGTCAGTTATTTACCATATGTTATAAGACGGATGAGAGATGCTTGTTTGAGAAGAGCCATGATAACGATTGGGCATATCATTTCAATTAAATCATGCATGAGATCTGCTAGAAGAGCTGCCGTTGAATGTCAACTAACTAAATCATTTCTTGGACTTTGATCGATGATGTCCATTAAAGGAGATTTGTTAGAACTATTAATTCTTTTTTGAACTATGTATATCAACATATGTGATGTAACATCTTCTACAAAAATATCCACTGTTGAAGCATCATTGAAAACCTCCGATCTCGTGTGCTGCTAGATTATCAGCAACTAACGTTGAAAGGGAGAACCTCAAATGAATGCCATTAATCAAACATCTTTCGAGCTGAACTATTAACAAGAGCTTCAAAGAATCGTTCAGCTTCGAGGTTTTCCTGAAAAAGAAAATATGTTCACAATTGTAAGTTTATTCTAAGGGGTGAATGTTATATTCATCTTATACTCACCCTCAAGTATAACTGGATCATCTAAAGGCCAGAAAATACAGCGACCAACTACAGGGTCAAAAGAGAGACCGATCTTTATTCCAGTAATCATATTTGAAACGATATCACCTGTAGAACATCCCTAACGAAGAATAAAATAAGCAGTTTTTTTAAAGTATGATACTAACGACAACAACTTACAATAATATTTCATTTAGAACGCTTGACTAATATAGATCGATTTACTAATTGTCGTACATACGCATGAGAAACATGATCGAATAGTATCATAATAAGTCCTGAATAAAGACATAACAAATTATTTATTAATTGAAAAAATGATCAAACCTCGACAGTTCATTTCTGCAGAACATCTATTCACATTAAAAGACAAAAACTAATATCAGCTTCATCACATATGACCGTTTTGTAGCAGTCATCTAATCCAGACATTAAACCTCTACGAGACATTTCATCGAAAGTATTATTTATTTGGCGATCAACAGCAATTTGCACTTGAGACTGAAATTTCGTCGGCCGATATTAAAACTAAGGTTTACATATATCTCTTAATAATTTGATAAGTTCTGATTTGCCATAAACTAAAATTTATATTTACATGATCGAGCAACAAGAATATTGTACAGATTTGTAGGAATTTTCTAATTCTTGAGTAAATATGATACCTGGTTAGAATTTCAGTTGACTGGCATTGACAATATTACGATTCATGTAAGTCATTCTATTATAATCAATGAATTATATTTTATAAAACGACAATAAGTAATACTGAAAACTATTGATTTATAATATTTTTCTTTATGATCGATATCTAACATGATATCATCGAAATAAGTACCAATCAGAAACTGTTTCATATATTTTTGGACGTTCTTGCACGCGTAAGTTTTTTAAGTGAAAGTGTGAGTGTGTGTGTGTATGTGGATGTTGAATACATCACGTACTCACACTCACACCCACACCCTCACCCACGTGGCATTTGTTCGAAATGTATTTAAACGAATTGACCAAAAGACGAAAAGTCTAACGCCCATTCAAAAGGAAGAAAAAAAACGTTCAATATATAGAGTGCACATGTTCTCACGGACCTCGACAGCAATTTGATAATACATGATAAAAAAATTTAAAGATATGATGTGAACAAAAGTGCAAAAACATTTTTTCCTACTTGTTTGAGATCTATTGATTTTACTATATAAAGCTAGAGATAATAGAGTGCAAATAGTATAGATCGGTAGAGTAAGAGATGCTGTGTCCTACCACACTAAAATAAGAAACTTTCATTGTTTCGCCGAAATACAGCAAATCATGAAAAGCTACTAAAATTAATATAATCAATCTGTACTATGTATTTATGCAATAAAACTTTCAATATTACCTATTTTATAAACGATATAAAATAGGGTTCAAAACTTTCGGTCAACCCTAAGTATTTATATTTGTAAACTACAGCTAGTAAAATTTTGAAATCTGAATTGTTTTTATTTCCATACGTCATTATTCTCAATTTTGTGTCTTATTATTTCTTTTGTTTTTTTTCTGTAACGAAATTCATTTGTCTACATGTATTGGACTTATTTTTATTGTAAAGCATTTCTGAGAACACTATACAAAGCTATTTTGTGAAATTTTGTGTGTTTATATTTTTATTTCGAAAAAATAAATGAGAAAAGCACAATAAATAGCGCTGTAGCACAATATGAATAATGACTCAGTTCATAATCATTGGTTGATCGAATTTACGCGGTTGAAATTTTAATCAATAGAATTGCAGCAAAATACAACGATGACGGACATTACATATATGTATCGACACACTATGACAGTGTCGAAACGTGACTCATCTTCTTGCGTGACACAAATTGTGTTGACACATGCAGGGGCGGCGGAGCGTCATCAGCCTAAGTGAGGCTCACAATATTTTTTTCTACTTTGAATTTTTAATAAAACATGAAGTTAAAATATAAGTCATCTTTTTATTATACCTCAGTAAAAACTACAACGGTCATCGTGAAAATAAAAATATATAAAAAATAGGTGAACCGCATTATAAGATAGATATGTCAGAACATATATCTGATTATGTTAGATGCCGAAAATAACAACTTCTAATAATAAAAGATAATATTTAATCCGAAAATAACTGAGGCTGAGCCTCAAGAGCTGAAAACTAAGTGAGGCTTAAGCCTCTTGAGCCTCCACGCTCCGCCGCCACTGGACACATGTGTCGCTAGCGTGTCCTATCGACATGGGGACGAACAATGTTGGTATTGTCCATTGTCCATGTGGGAGAAATGTTTGTAGAGTTGTTTGCTCGCAAAAAGTTATAAGACTGTGCCTTTGCAGTGATACTTGCGCTGCTATATACTCATCGAACATCGTCATCTGGTGTGTTTCTCACACTGATATTCGCTTATTCATAAGTTGGAAAGTAGGAAGTAAGTAAGTGAGGAAGAGAGAAGTGACTCATGATGACACAAAATATTCGTCACTGAATTTAGGTACATTCCACTTTGAGTGTAGGTACGAGTTTGAGTTTGGGTGTGAGTGAGAGACCGAGTATATGTCCACATTCACACCCACACCCAAAGTGGAATGTACCTAAATTCAAAGACGAATATCTTATATCAATATGAGTGTTTTTTCTTAGCCTCGCTTACTTCCTTTCTACCTTCCAACTTATAGACAAACGGATATGGACGTGAGAAACACACCAGGCGACGATACCTGATGAGTGTATAACAGCGCTAGTACCACTGCAAAGGCGGTCTTACAAATTTTTGCAAGCAATCTAATTTTTAAAGGGTATGGGTGTAGATGTGGATGCGAATGTGGATGTGGGTGTGGGTGAGGATATTTGTTTTACTGACGCACTCACACCAACCCACATCCTCAAAATGATTTTCATTAACTTTTTATGCAGATATATAATGCCGCCAGATGAGTCTCTTATGAGATCAAAACATGTCTTCAGTATCATTTCGAAAGGCTCATGTGAATTTTTTATAGAAAATATATCCAATTCTTTGTTTCGTTATATCTCACCACTTGTGCTCGATTTTATTACAGAAAATAAAACAATATGAAAAGCACACAATAGACAGACAAACAAGAAGAAATGTGGATAATGTTGCAAAGAATATAGTCTACATAAAGTTGACATAGCTTCTTCTAATCTTTATCACTCAGTCTAATAGTCACATCAACTATTACACAGCATTTCTTCATGAGTTTCTATTATCTGTAACTAATAGAAGTACAGAATAGCAATCATTTTCTGTGTTTGCACCATTCATTATCATTCAACATGTTGTTATTTCAATTGATGATCATCCACAGCGAGCTATAAGTAAGTATTGAATGTCGTTTTCCAAACATGATTTTCAAGAACAATATTATATCGATTAATTCATCAGGAGAAGCAAACAAATAAATAATGTCTTTCGTTTTTATTATAATAGTCATGCCATTGAAACTGAATGGATTGATTAGGGAGGAGTACGCTTTCGAGTACAAATAAACGATTGTTTAAACGCTTTCATATACAATTCTGAAGGAATGACAAAGATAAGAAAAATTAGCGTCGAAGGAGTAAAAGAAATGAAATATGCTCCAAGATACAACCACAAATTCTCAGATGTTTTTGCACAACCAGGAAGTAATGAAATGATGAGACGAGGTATTGATAAAATGAGTAAAACTATTGGACTAATGATCAATTGTTTATGCTGCCTAAATTGTTCTTGAATATGTTCTTTAAAGCTTTGGTTAGTTCGTGCCATTGATCGCTGCTGAGCACCTCCAAATATGATGAACAATGCAGAAAAAAGGTTAACAACAAATGGGCCAACAAGATGAAAAAATAGAACACCTGTATTGTAATCTTGAATAGAAGGAGAATAACGAGTAATGCATGATACATATCGCTTGATTGTGTCTTCATTAGTCTTATTCGTATCTATCGTATCTAGTCTTGTTTCATAAATGAACAATCTGCGAAATGCGAGCTCGTGAATAAGAGTACCAAGAATGCAGAATGGTAAAATAAGAATTGTCCGTCGAGCAATGGACTTACTCTTTTTTTTATTAAATTTTACTCCTTTAAAAATAAGTACTGCTCGTTCAACTGCTACACAAGCATTAAGCCAACCATCCAAGTAGAGAAAAAGTTTTAGAATCGGTTCAACAGATGCACAACCTCCACGAAGAACAGAGAGACTAGTGGACACATTGATATAAGTAAGAACAACAAACCAGAATTTAATTATGAGCATACTAATTGTCAAAAGAGAAGTAATCGATGATGTCAGTAGATACATTCCACAGCCAACTTTTTGAGAATCTTTATGTTGAAATGTAATAAAAGAGAGAACACTATTGATTAATCCTGCGATGAACATAATTATTGTTATACCCGCACTTATCTGAATCGAAAATGATTGATTATTCAACATTATGTTCGGTTGAAGTTCATCACGTAAAATATCATCGAGTGTTAAACCAATTCCTTTGATGTAAAAGTTGCATTGATTACCGATCACACAACTACTTTGTTCTGGACCTAAAATATTGAATTATATTTTAATAAGAGAATAATGAAGAAATTCAGTTGTTTAGACAATTAAAATATTCAGTTTTGGTAATTTACTTGTTTCTCAAGTAAAGATTTTTCAATGTACCGAAATATGTGTATTTTTTACACAGACATAACAACGTTTTCAATACTTTTTTCAGCCTCTCAAGGTCATTGATAAATTATTGAAAGCGACCTATTCTTTCACTACTGATTTCTACAAATAGAAAAATTATGGAACAAAGCTTGACTTTTCCAAGATGTCGAGCCTTCGAAAAATCCATAACCATAAAGATTTAAAAAGTTGTAGGTACCAACATTCAAAATATGCAAAATCTATCCAGAATTCATACTAATCAAATGTCTTTTCTAACAGATCAATCAACTCAAAGATTCGAAAACTATTTAATTCTATATCTCGATAGACCTTTTTTCAAAACCTAAAATAATAATTACTCACTAATCAAAAAAATTATAAGAAATCTTCTTTTCACGTATTTTATGTCGTTATATATTTGTTACCAAATGAATTTTATAAATACTTACTGAAAGGACTAAGACTGACATTGTTTGGTCCAGAGATAAAAACAGAGAAGTTCCCAATTGTCTTAGGATCGTGTGTTGTCACAACTAATATATATCGAGTGTTGATCTCGAGATCAATGATTAATTTGAATTGTTCATCATTACATTTACCATCATGTGATAAAAGTAAATTTTCAGATGGTTTTAAAGGATTGAAATCATTTTTGTAGATATATCCATATGCATTAATATCATTTTCACTCCAAATAACATACAAACCCGTTGTATTAACATGAATTTGTAATGTTTCATAATGACATTGTGGTACTTGACAATCTCGATAATATGTTGGACTATCATCAGTTAATTTTGATGAATATTTTAATTGAATATTTACTGGAGTACCTATTCAATAGAATAAGTCAAATAATTCATAGAACTTCGATACTATTAAAAATTTCAGTCTTCCACAATCCATTCAAAAAATATTTATTGACTAATAAAAAAACAGAAGTAATTCAATGACGATTCGTTCATGAAACTATTGAATGACATCGACAAAAGCGAAATCTTTGAGATTTTCTATGAAGAATTAATTTTACAAATAGAGATTAGTAAATATTTCAAATTCACATTCTCCAAGTGAGTATTCTGGAATAAGTATGCCACAGGAATCTAAGAGTACTGAGACACAGCAAGATACTTATGGTTTCCAAGCATCTGACTGTCAAATGTCTTCAAACATGTTACTGATTATTCTTAGAACGTTTTTCATTCAATATTTCTGTAAATCGAGCAGTATTCATCTATTACGATAGTGTTAGGAAAATATAGAGTAACCATCCTGCTGAAAAATGCTTTATTATTAGATAATATGAGTTCAGTACCTTTTCTAGATGCAGAATAAATGATGGAATTGAATTTAAAAGATATACTATATATTTTGTACGAATTATTTCATATATAACACAAATATCTATAAACTTACTGAGACGATCGAGAACAACTTCATTTTCACCCAACACATTAATCCAAAAATCTCCACTTTCTTTTGAACCAAATGTTGTCATAACGAATACATAAATCATGTCAACATCAAGATGAATATCAAGTTTAAACCGAATATCAGAATCATGAGCATACTCTTGATTGAGCAAATTTTCCCATGGATCAAGAGGGTTAAATTTGTTTTTGTAAATAGATCCATATGGATCAATGCTACCGCTACCACGAAAAGTGTAATAACCACTTTTGATTACCTTCACTTCAATAGATTCATAGTAAAACTTTTCCCTCTGACAATCTCGATAATACATTTGGTTGTTCTTACTCAATGATGATGAATAGGTCTTTTGGAAAACAGTGAAAGTATTGACTAAATAGACAATAAAATCAATTGAAGTTTATCGTGAATGCACAGAGATGTAGGTCTTTTTCAATAGAAACTTTTGTTCACTATAGAAATACGTCACTAACCTATGGAACCGATGATTTGTGTTTAAAAAGGTAAAAGACTGTTTCTTAACCAGAAAGCATTTGAATTTATTCTGTAGTATCATTTGTTTTTCAATATTTTGAAAAGAGAAAATATTACGTGGATCGATCAGTGTCAAAGAGAAGCTAATAAAATTGTTTGGTCGACATACACAGCACAATGTTTGACTTTTATGTGAGACTTAAAAATTGGAAACATAATCTAACCAATGAAAAGCAAGAGAGAAACTTCTGACTGACTAGATTCAGTTGAGGATTTTTTTTCCAATCAATTAAATAAAACATAATATTGTTCATGTTGATCAAATAGTTTCTATGTAACATCTAAGAAGTTGTTTTATTCTTTTAAAAACAACCAACATCTTTGACTTTTTTTCTGATGCGATAGTTGTATTCATATCTTGAGAGTAAGGATGTTTCAAAGAAGAATATCTATAATAAATTGAAATTTTTAAATTAATCAATCATTTCTTTACACAATTTTATTGTTTTTCGAACAAAAAAGTTTCGTGTACACTATTTTCTTTCGCTTCAAACCTCAGTTTCTTCTAACGAAAACTATACAGCTTTTCATTACCAACATTCATATCTCATCATCTCATTCGATTATACTTCAACTTACCACAATATCTGTTTAAATATTTAAATTTTTGAATTCGATGATTTGATGCATCAGTAACAAACATATTTCCAGAATGATCAAAACTCAAGCCATATGGAATATTCAATTGGTCGGATTGCAGGCCCATTCCAAAACATCCAAATAAACACTGAAAACCACTCAAGCTTGAACCAACAATGCGATGATTATTTTGATCTGCAATGAATAAGTACTTATCAGCATCTAGTATAATTCCGCTTGGACAATTAAGTGAAATTGTTGGATATAGTGATCTACTTCCAGCTACTGTGATGCCATTTGATACTCCCAACTGAAATAATTGAACTCGATTATTTTGACAATCTGCTACATAGAAATCCAAATTCACATCGACAAAGATTCCACGAGGACTATTTAGTTGATTCGAGGCCGGTCCTCCAATACCTGTTCCAGCAGCAACATGATTTGAATTCATCGCATAATCACTTAACGGTCTTTTCACTACTTGATGATGCTCAGACATTGAACAATAAAGAGTATCATTGTTATCGACAAACAAACCATAACATGATGAGTTGACATTCATCACCGTGACAAAGGTATCTGTTTCTGCTATCCATTTCTGCACTCGACCATTCTTAAATCCATCATCAATATAAATATCGCCATTTGATGTCACGAAAAGAGAGCTGGGTCGTGTAAAATTACCATGAATGATCTTTGTTGGATTGACACTCTCTTCGTTCCACATTACAATGGTGTTATTTTCTTTATTAGCGACATAGATTGTGTTGTTTGTGTTAACAAAAATACCGATAGGAAGTTGACCAACAATCGATTGATCAGCAATGGTAATTCCATTAGAATTCCAAGCGGTTGTTGGATAAAACTTTGGTTGATTGAATGACAGAACTAAGACGAGAAAAATATAGAGAATATTAGAGAAGAACTATAAACGAAATGAATTTGTTAATTTATGTTTGCTCTTGGAAAAATTCATTAAGATTAATTTTAAAAATATATGATTATCATTGAAAACAAAAAAAATAATAAAATAATTTTTTTTTGTTTATTCAACGAAAATGAATTCGAAGAAGGAAAAAGAATTGTTTAGAATGGAAACGAGTCTATTGAAACCGATTGAGATCTAAACAAAATGTCTTAGAAATTCAAAATCAATTCTGATTTTCATATGAAAAACAGTGTGAATTTATTAATGTTAAATCATTTCAATTACGTACCATTATATTTGTCAACGATCTGCATGCACTCAATGCCACCGTTATCATTGATTACAAAAGCCTACTAAATCTCATCACCATCTATATTCTCCATCAACTTTTGTGCGCTCTTGTTCGATAATATAGACTTTGAAAATGATTTTAGATGCAAAATCAAAAGCTTCACCATGGTTTTTACTATGAGGTAATATGCCATGTCAAAAAACAGCCAATCAATCTATCTGTTTTTTCAATGTAACACACATGTAGCTCATATTTCATTATTGATAGTTATGGCAACATTTTATAGTTTCAACACAGTTTAACAATAAAATAAATCGCTGTAAAGAGACGCTTTCTCTGAATGAGTTAAATTGGAGTCGAGAAGAGATGAGAACCATCACTTTTGAATACATAACAAAAATTTCTGTCAAATTCTATAATCTATTATTTGACTTTTGTTCAACTAAAAGTCTAACGAATAATGTCATTCGTGCAATAACTGATGTTCAGTATATGATAAATAAAAATATTTACCTAATGTTTCTTTGCTGAGAATGAATAAAAGAACAATGATAAATACGTACATATTCCACATCATTCCACAAGATATTTTTTCCGATTAATTAGTTGACTAATAAAATAATCCTCTTTTTTCTTGCCTTCGATAAAAACAAAATGACATTCGTTGTAGATTTTCTCTCTAGTTATATATCTCTCTCTTTTTCTCTCATTCAATCCTTCCAACAGAACACATAAAGAGAAAAAATTATGTTGTTGAGAAGGTTTCATCGAAGGTGAAATAAAAATTGATTATTTAATTTGATATTTTTCATTCAATTTCATTCTTTTCGAAATTTGAAAATATAGAATAGAATTTAAATTCGACATGATCCTTCTCTTTTCTGTTCTTAATTTTATAGAAAATCTTTAATTTTAGTAAAGAAGAATGTGATAAAGAGAAAAGAGAATTGATGAAAATCTGCATTAATCATCGGACGTGTTTTCAGTGAAAATAAGATATCAACTATCATCGTCAATAAATGATTGACGTCAATGAATAAGTCATGATTAGTTTGATTTCTTTTTTTTATGTGACTTTGTCAAATAATTTGCTTTATCAGGACTCACTTTTAATCACGTTCTTTGTTTTTCTATGTAACAAGTATCAGTCAGAAAAGTTTTCTTCTTTCAGTATTTTGATCTTTTCTAGAATAAAAACTCATCAGATATATGAAAAGCAGAATTGCTCATCACGACGTACGATGTATTTTTTCAAGTGAGGTGAAAAATATGTGTGAACTCAAGCCGAACGTCAATATATGCACAAGCAAAACTTTGAACATGGATGAATTTCACCATCTAGTAGCAATAGATCTGTTCAAACATAATCAACGTCGTCAGATTCAGATCAATTAGCTAATATTCCTTGCAATCCAGTCGCGGCGAGTTGTCAAGCACTATAAATATCTTTGATTGAAACTGATGGGTGATGGTGTGTGTACATGTATAGTCGGACTTCTATCCGCACCCATATCTACACCCATACTCACACCCGAATCCAAACCTATCCTCATCCACACTCAAAAGATGTTCAAACAATCTCTTTCATTTTCCATATACAAATGCAATCATTTATCGAATCATTTTCGATATTTCTCTTTATTCAAAGAATACATGAACGTAGTTACACTATCATACAATGTTACAATATCATTCTGATCAGTTGTATATTGCCTGACTAAATCGAATAACTAAAAGTCACATAGGCCATGATTTGAAGAATTAGATGAATGCACTGTTATTGTGGTGTTTTCTTTTATTTAAGATAATCGGATAGAGCTTTGTGAAGGAGTACGTGTGAATATAGGATTATTATAATAGCTACACCCACGCTTCGAAGGATATTGTATGACTGCCATGCTTATATTCATCGCTCGCCGTTATTATGTGATTATTCACGGCATTTCCTACGAATAGCGCATCAAATGCTAGATGTCGCACGGTAAATACTTCCATTTTTGTTAATTCAAAAGATTTAATTTTACAAAAATAACTATTTTAGATAAAGTAGTTTTTTGCAAAGTTTCAGCTCTTGAAAACGAGTCTGACATCCAGGTGCATAAGTGCATATTTCAATCAATGTGATATTTGATTTGATGCATTTATTTTTCTCTCGATTCTACTAATATAAATATATGTTGAGATATAGATTTTAATACAAAAAATGGTTAGTAATAATATTGAAGGATTGAAAGGTACTTGGGAATATGTAAGTTATTTATTTATATATCAAATAATACATGATCTATTATTTTAGATTAATGCAGAAAATTTTAGTGAATTATTAAAAGAACTTGGAGTTAATCAAGAGATACGTACGTTTACATCAGCTGAAACTTTTAAACCTCGTGTTATAATTGATGAAAAAGATGGAAAATGGTCATTGAAATCAGAAAATACTTTCAAAACAACAACAGTTGAATTTACACCTGGAATTGAATTTGAAGATATATCACCAGATGGGCATGAAATAACTGTTTGACTAGTTTTTAATTATTTTATTTATATTGTAAAATTTCTTTTCTCAAGATGATGATTGAATTTGAAAATGGAAAATGGATTCAAAGAGTACGTTATAGAAATGGAAAAGAAATGTTTGTAAAGCGATGGATCAATGACAAAGATCAATTAGAAGTTGTAAGTTTTTATTTGATTCAATAAAAGAACATTTTTTCCATTATTAGAGTATGCAATGTGGAAATGTTACAGCAACTCAAATATACAAACGTCTTACGTAATTCTTTATTATAATAGAATTCCTTTCCTTATTCTTATTGCAATAGTTTTTTATGTTACAAATTTTTTTGTATCGATACAAAAATCAACAAAAGTTCTTGATATATACAAGTAATAACAGAATGTATTTTATATGTTATGGATATTCTTAGTTCCTTCAATGAATTCATCTTTGTTGAAAAAAAGCAAAGTTAATTATATCGTTTTTTTTCTTATAATTACAAAAATATGTTATATTCTCTTATAATGGCATCATTACATGATAATACAACAGCTGGCTATACGAGTACCTTTTTAAAATATATTCTTAGAATAGTTATATTACTTCATCTTCGATACTATGTAAACCACAGATGGTGCCATTTTCTTATTCGTTATTTCATTTGACAGCAAAAGATTAATGATGAAATTTTCTCATTGATTCTAAAATATATTCAAAGCATTTTTTCGAAAAACAAGATATTTCTTCATCCCTATCATAGAAACTAAATGAGTGTGTGAAGGTGACTATTATTTTTATTATATCCTCCATCACATCCTCAAGACGGTGACACAGCGTTATTTTATTGTCAAAGATCCTATTCTTGATCTTCACATATTTATTGAAAACAAAGTTTTATGACGACAGCGAAATGTCAAAAACAATATGTATTTTGTTTTCTGTGATGTTGTCTAACATTCAAGATTGGCTGGATCTGTGTTGAAATAGATATGCATTGTACTAAAGCCACCAGCGTCATCGTATTGTTGAAACATACATTTTGGAACAGGATTGAGAAACGACTAAATAAATAGTACTTAAATTAAGATATAGACAACGACAAACGTACAAGAATAGCTGCCTTTGGTGGAAATTCAATGCGTGGAGAGAAGTCAAACTTGCCAACAATACTCCATCCAAAGGCACTCAATTGTCCTTTGTTGTACAGTGCAAAGCCTGGTAGAAACTCGGAACAGTTCTTATTCAAATGATTATCATACCAGTAATGATTACCTATTTTAAATAAAATAATATTACACACAGATAGGCAAATGAAATCATTTACCCATCGTTTTGAAACACGCTCCTCGAGTCCATTTTGTTCTACCAATATCATTCTCCCAAAATGGTACTTCAATAGAATCTTGCAATGGATTTGTGCCATTTTGAAAAAAGAGACCTGTTCCTGTTCCTTCATGTTCAAGACGTGATAGTGTTCGTCCCACAGTGCATATTTTAGCTAGAGTAGCGATATAAAAGAATGTAATCCTCACAAAACAGCAAAGACCTACCTGGTTCGATAAAATAGGCAGTAATTGTGTACATGTCAACATTATTAATTGTCTCTCTATTGAACAGTTTTTGCGTATCGTACGAATAAAATTTATCCTTAGCTAATAATCGAGGAAACTAAACAAAAGAAATATTCATCAAAGGAGAATAAAGTGAGACTTACAGCCATTTGAATACCAGCAATAGTTCCTTGTCTATCAAATAGAAGAATAACTGCAGTATCATTATTTTTCCAGTAGCGATAACCAACAGTTGTCTTACCTATTATTTATTAAAAAAATATATAAAAACTATTCGCATAAAATCAGCAATAGATCGTATCATCCCTATAAATATCTATTTGATCTGTCTAGCATTGCAACTAAAGTACCTGTAGGAGAAGAGGATACTTAATACAGAGAGAACTATTACTTCATATAAATGATAGTGACGATCTTTATTTTCGATATCAATGCAGTATGAGATAATGTCTACGTTGTTCTTACCAATACATTGATCTCCTAGTCCATTTGGAAGCTTTTTATATTGTTCTTGTAAGGCTTGTTGTATTGTTCGCGGCTGTCGAACAAAGGCATCATCGTTAGTTACCAACGGATCTGGTCCCCATTTAACTTTAAGTGTGTTCCATTCTACTACTCGTTTGACATTCGTAGGTGACAGCAATAAATGAACATCTTAATAAATAAACAAATACTAGAAAACTACTCAGAAATTCAGTCTATAATACTTACCAGAGAAAGAGAATGCGAAAAGAATAATAAACTTTAAATTAATCATTGTTTCTTCTATTTAGAAAATCCTCAATTAAGATCATTTGATATATATATAGGCTTGATATTTATACATATATTACAATGATTATAGAGACAAAAAGAAAGATCATGTTAGAACAATGAGTAATTATAGTTTAATCCAAAGTAAATCATCGCCATAAACGATGATAACATATAGACAAAGGTCTCTTCAAAAACCAACAATATTTGCGCAAATATAATGTCAAGCAGATACTTCATTAATCTCAACAATGAATTAACTTCGAATCATCAGTAATCTGTGAGATAGCAGAATAAAATAAATCTCTTTTAAGAAAACAAAGTATTTTCTATAATTTATGAAATATTTTATATGGCGAATAAGAGAGATAATGTAAATAGGTTCATTAACATGAATGGATATCTATTGTTAGTAGCTGCTGTTGACGTAGTTGTTATTGGAGTGGTAGTATTAAAAGATATAGATGACAAGCATGGATCGGTGAAATTACTAGAACTGGGAGTTGCAGTATATGAAGTGCTCTGAGTTCCATTAGCCTGTGCAGAGGTGATATAAGACGTACAACCTGCGCTAAAGCTTTGCGTCGCACAAGACCCAATAGGAAATGCGGGAAGCTGGATAATTCCCGAAGTACTGGCACCGGAAATAGCAAATACAATTGCTTGACTTCCAACCAGATTTGGACTACTGAGCCAAATGGAAAATTGTATCATTCCAAAGGTTTGCACCGCTATATCGAAAGAGTAAACAAAGAAAACTTGATCGAGTTGATTGAAAATTGGAACGGAGATCGACTTGTAGACGACTGGAGATCTGCGAGTAGTATCGATAGCTTTTACATTTAGAATCAGTGGATAATAAAATGGTGCAACTCCAGCATTAGACATCGTAACACCTATTCTTATAACATGTGAACTATAGAGAAACAAATAGTATTACTTGAACGATTTCGTTAGAAAAAGAAGTAAATGCTAGATTATAATACTTACTATCCTGAACAAGTCATCTCTGTAGCAGTTATTTCAGACACATAGAAAGAGTATCCTTGCATAATAGATCCATTAACAGCTCTACTATAATCTGAGCTACTATATCCAGGAGTGTAGAAAGCATAAGAAAGCCACTGGTATGTTGAATGAGTCAATTGAACACAAGTAGCCCAATCCAAAGGTGTTAAATCAGTTATTGATTGACAAGCTGTTACAGGATCGCTTGCAAATGCACAAGGCATCAATTCAGGACGAACTTCACCTCCAATAGGCTACAATAAATTCAGTCTTAATGAATTTAATGAAAATTTAAGTAAGACTTACTCGACTTCTCCATTGATTCGCAGCTCCTACTGCTACACTGGTATTATAGAACATCCAAGATAATCCGTATGTATCTTGATCAAAAGAATCATCATGAAATCCTACATTTAAACTTGTTGGATTATAACTTCCAGTAACAGCAAAATAACGAAGTTGAATAATTGTTTTAGTAAAAGATGAAGTAAAAGCAGCAATAATCGGATCTTGATGAGATGTTGATGCAAAATAAGTCGTATTAGGTGAAGTATGCCATTCACCCCAATGACCTAGAAACCCCACCTGCCAAAATCCAATTCTAATATCTCCGTCATAGGCTCGACCTAAACAAGTATAATCAATATGAAATATAGAATGATTTCAAACAAAATACAAACCTAAAGCTTGAATAAGAGTAACCATAGCATTGATTAGAGTTTGATTATTATAATCGGGAAAGAGACCTTGACCGACATCTCCGGGATATAAACTGAAATAACAAATAAAATTCTTTGTATATTCTATTTTTGATAGAGAATCCTTACGTAAGTCCATTCCAAAGAAAATCAGGTAGAGATATACTCAAATTTTGTCCAGGCCAATCAACATAGACTCGAACAATAGCATGATGATTTCTACTTGCAACATTTCTCAAAACAGTATCGAGCGAAGAGAAATCGAATGAATTTGGACCAGTCATTAAATTTTTCATTGGAAAATATTGATTTTCCATTGAATGTGGAAAATTAACTTGAGGTTGAGAACTTGTATAATAATAATAAGGAACAAGGCCTTTCAATGGATTCCAAACAGTTGAACTAGGATCATAAGTGTACGTCCAACTAGAAGATACTCCACCAAATGCATTTCTTATGAAAACAATTAGAAGTGATAAATGAATCACATGCATTTCGAAAATTTCTTTAAATGTTCCAACGTGTAGCAAAATTTTTAGTCTAAATTTTCAATTTATTGTCTAAAAAAAATTTCAATTGTGTAAGATTTTAATCAACAAACAAACAGTAGATGACAAGAAAAATTACAATAGACGCCTTTAGACTTACTATTAACTGTATTTACAGACAACTCGAAAAACACAACGTCTATTCTTCGTAAAATCACAAAAAAACATGCTCTCGACACATCTATCGGTCGTTTAATCTTCAAATAAAAGCTTATAAAATAATTATACAAAATACTTATAATTCATGGTTCATAATAACGAGACAACTTGTGTGCTTAAAGCGAATTTTTAATATTTCGTAATACGAACAGCCTTTTGAGATGAAGTCTAATCTGTAAAAACAAACTGTTTATACAAATAGCACATTTTTGCAATAGAAGACATTGCGAAAGAAAGAAAGAAAAAAAACATGAAATTCACACAGAATAATACGCTTTTTGGGCTCTATAACAGGATTTACAAAAAGTGCGGAGATTTATATGACAACACGTTGAAATACCTCTTTCTTTAGATCCTGATCGAAGTTAGTCAACAATGTCTGAATAATATCTTCCCAATGATGAACATAAGAATCGGTTCTATAAGATTTCACACAACATATCGCAAGATGAAATATGAAGACCATTACAAATATGAGAGTATAGTTTATAAAAAGTGTATGTATTAAAAAAATAAAATTTTACTCGACGACCAAAAAACGAGCTTGTAGTAGAAGATTTTGTTTTTCTCTATTGAAAACAACTCGTACTCAATTAAAATAAGTTTTACTTTGTGATTTAAAGAACTTTTCATACTCTAGGTAATGTCTTATATTTTTGTCAGATACTTTAATTTCTCTATGAAATTCTTATGTTTAATATTTTATGGACGAAAATGAATTTACAGTAAAAAATCGTTATACTTACTTCGAAAAAGTACCATCGCTAGTTGCTAATCGTCACTAAACATTTTTAAACAAACGATAAACATCAATGCACTTTTTTACAAAATGTCATGAAAGAAAAACATCAGAGTTTGCAGTAACTAACAGTAAAAATAACTATGCAATTATTTCTATAGGACAGTTTGTTTCACAGGCGTTGTTCGTTACTCTATACTATTGTTTTCGCCTCCAGATTTCTTAACTTTTCTTTGTTTATTCTCTATCTCTCTTGCATAAACAATATGAAACAAACATCGTTCAATATTTTTGGATGCTTGAGGATGTGATGTGAGGTGTAATTCAACATCCACCTCTATTTTTGAATTTCCATCTAACTGGATGTAAACATAAGTCTTTCATATGATTCTGTGCTTTGATTAGTTCTGAAGCCATAAACAGACGTTGAGTTGACTGTGCAACAAATCAAGAACCATTGTATTGTGTTCTCCACACAACGTAATAAACAAACAGACGACATTCTTTTTTTTTCTTTCTTCTTAATAACAATCTTTGAGACACGTTATTTAGTGGAAGGCAGAACTGTGAAGGAGAACACGATGAGTTACGGTTAATTTTTTTTATTTGTTCTGTTGTCTTCAATAAAAAGTGAGCCGTCATTGATATAGAATGCTCTTACATTAGAAATCAAAAAAGTACATTCCATTTATGACGCGTTACATATTTTGATTTTTTTCTTTTCTCTCCTTGTCATATTTGTTGGAAAGATGATGCAACATACGCAGCTATGAAATAATCACTGTGTTGATAAAAAAAATCATAAAATACGATTACTTAGATCCTCGTCTTTCTAGGATCATTTTTTCAATGCAAAAATTTATTATCGACAACGAAATCACTGGAGAGATATAGCAATTGTTCTGATGAAATGACAAGAGTGTGGGTGTCTTCTCTGGACTATTTTAATCTCACTCATGTCCACATTGAAATTCACTCAACTAATCGTGTTTTGTAGTTTCTTAACCGACACAATAATTATCACACAGCGATTGCAAGAAGAAAAGAAAAGAAGAAAATCAAAATATGTTATTCGTCATAAGTAGAATGTACTTTTTTCAGTTGCAAAGGGCATTGTATATGAACGACGGCTCGCTTTTTATCGAAGAAAACAGAACAAATAAAAAAAGCTAATACTACTCATCTTTTTCTCTTTCACAGTTCTGCCTTCCACTAAGTAACGTCTCTCAAAAATTGCTAGGAAGAAGAAAGAAAAAAAAGAATGTCGTTTATTTGTTTATTACGTTGTGTGAAGGTGACAATACAACAACTCTCAATTTGTTGAACAGTCAACTCAACGTCTATTTATGACTTCGGACTTAATCAAAGCGCAGAATCACGTGAAGGAGGTACGTATATTTCCTTTTCATATTCCTCGAAGATCCGCAAAGAATTCGTTGTTTTTCTTGACAAGATCTTACCATGATTTATGAAAGTTTCTTCCGTGATAGTATTAGATTACTTCGCAGGATCTTTAGAAGATTATCTTAACGGAACAGATTGAGTATTGATATATACCCCTTCTGTTTACACACCGATCATGTTATCTGGTTGGATGTGCGATGTTAGGATATATAGATTCAACCTCGAAAATCTTAACTTCATTTGAATTTTTATGTCAACATAATTATTTTGAGAAAATATTGATTTTGATTGAAAAATTTTATTATATTCTGTTTAACTTTAATTTGATTTAAAAAAATATTTACCAAACATATTTTTTAGAGATAAACAAAATGTAGAAGTTCTATGGAACATTTTTACTTGAGACATGTGTCAGATCAATTTTAGTGTAGAACATATATTATGAAAAGACCTTCGACGAAAACTCACTTGGGTGAAAATCTTCTTTTTATCCAAACGCACACCCACCCTCAAGATGATTGAAAGTACTATTTTTTTTTCATTCTAGGTCGTCGCGGAACTCCAACTTCCACTTTTCAACGGGGTTGTGTAAGTTGTCCGAATGGTATTGAGATACTGCTTGAATACGCTTACAGCATGATGTATGCTTAAAGTCTGTTATTATCACTTTCGATCTTTTCAAGATATACCTTCGGAATATAAAAGTTATGAAATATTTTTTATGTGCTTTAGTGAAACCTCGGCCGACTTTGGATTTTTTCAATTTGATAATCCTGATGAGAATAATACAAACAATCTTTTATCACAGGTAAACTGCTCGAATTTTTTGCTATTGTTCATGGAGTCAGGTCATCATATAAAACATCATCGAACCGTTTCTCAACTTTTGCCTTATTCTAATCGCATATTTATATGATATCTGTTAAGTTCATTCATCTTGATGGTCGATCAACAAAAGAGGTGGTGGCAAAATTTATCATCGATGCCTACCAGCTTCCTGTTCCTGATCTGATCCTCTCAATTCAGACAGACAGCATCAATGTTGAGAATCAAGAAACTAAGAGCATCATTCGTCGTGGTATAGCTGCTACAGCAAGAATAACAAGTGAATAAATTGAGAAAAACTGATACGTCTTATATACTTTTCTTCGAACATTTAGATGCATGGATTATCACAAGAGGTATCAAACAAGACATGATCGAACTAGTTGGAACAACGCTACAAACTGATGCGATGGACAGTGATGTACCTTGCATCGGTTTCTGTAATTGGAAACGTATATCAGGTAACAAGTGTACGATATTGCTCTTGAAATATATAACATATCGTTTTAGCTACCACTCACGGAAAAGTAAGTGCTCGAGTGAAATGCGTGTTTATGCGAATTGAACTGCGTTTTCTTTTGTTAGCGGGACAATTGCCAAACTCCTCCACAATACAATCAAATGGATATAACTCCCATCGATGATTGCGAATTGGAATCGAACCATACTCATTTTGTTCTCTTCGATGATGAGATAGACAATGTAGAAAATATCCAATTGAAACGTGGCGAAATCGAACGTCAACTGAGCAAGACATTGCTAGAAAATAAAACTGTCAATAATGAGAATCATTCAAAGAGTGGTATGTACGATGAAAACGGGGAGAGCATTTGTAATCATTATATTAATAAGTAACATATTTTCTAGTATTTCGAAATACTGTTCCGATTGTTACGCTGTTACTTGGTGGCAACATTACAACACTCGTTGTTATATGTGAAGGATTACAGAATGAAACACCAGTTGTTGCTGTTCTAGTATGCATTTTTACATTTGAAAATATCTATCCTATAAAACTATATATGATGTTTGATCCGACGATTATATCTAGTTGAAGAATTTATTTCTTTTAGGGTACAGGTCATCTTGCAGATATCGTCGCTGCCCTGTGCTACGATCTACGCTCATATCACGAACTTACCCATAAACAATTCAATGATTATCCAGATTTAAAGAAGAAATTAGAAGAAAAAAAGGAGAAAGATATACAAGAGTGCAAACTTAGATTGAAAGAATTGGGGCGTTTAGAAGGAAAGAATACAGATCAAATCGATGATAAAATTAACAAATGTGTAAAAATACTAGAAGACATGAATACACTTATTGCTGTATACGATGGAGTTAAATGTATTGATAATCTAGAAGATGTGATTGCAGATGCAATGTGGAATGAAATATCCTATCATCGCAAGAATAAGGAGACAAGAAACGATGGATACGATCCAAGAGCTGAAGAATTGAAATGGTGTTTGGTAAATTTTCCTTTTCTCGTCAATGAATCAATAGAAAATCCTTTTTGTGATTATTTCAGATCTGGAACAAGGAAGCACGTGGAGAACTGGAGATTTGGATTAATAGTGGAGACGAGAATTTGGCATTGGCAGAAACTAAGCGACGTTGGGTGAGTGTCTGTTTATCTTTATCAAAATTATTGTAATTATGTATCTTTTATAGGTAAGCAAACTTGGGCAATCAGCACTCTTCGAAGCTTTGTGTCGAAACAAAGTCTCTTTCGTCAATTTGCTCATGGACAACGGTGCATCAATAGAAGCATTTGAAATCAACGATTTGCAGATTATTTGTAAAAAAGCAATGGTAATGTAAACTAAAACAAACGTGCACAGTGCACTATTTTTCATTCGAAACATATTACTTTTACAGAATGACGATGCTCTGCCTCTCGACTGGCCTCCACGTCATCTTCATGCATCATATGATCCGACAAAATTGTTAGAAAATATGCATAATTCTTATCTTATTCAATATTTAGGATATTACGTAAGGATAATATAACAGTGGGTATAATAAATGCCTCTGTATGACGTATTTTAGGTCAAGAAGGAACATAAGACGCGAAAGAAACCAACGATTGAAGAACTCGTACTTTGGAATCACAACCCAAAAGCACGACTGGAAATACAGTATTGGTACATTGTTCGATGAAAACAAGACCGAAACACTTTATCTCTGGTTTTTATTCATGAATCGACCAGACATGGCGAAGTGTCTTTGCTCCACAATTTCGGTAACAAACACTTTCGATATATTTTTTTATCTAATTCTCTTTCTTTGACATATTCTAACGGTCAGAATCAGACTGTGGCCACACTTCTTGCTGCTACAATCTATTTCAAAGCATCAGAGAATGACAATGAAAATAGGCGTTCTTTGATAAATATTGGAAAGTAAGTAGAACGAATTCTGTGTGTATATTGAATTTAATTTTTTAATTGAAATAGACAATTCGATGGACACTCAAAAAATCTCATCGATGAATGTTTCATTCAAGATAAAAGTCTTGCTATTAGCGTACTTGAATGCAAAGCTCCGGCATTGTATCATTGCACGCCGTTGGATGTAGCACGACGTACCGACTGCAGGGGTTTTCTTGCCAGCGATACTGTTCAAGCACATCTCGATCAAAAGTGGTATCATCATTTTGACACTCATCAAACCTTACTCAAGTTGCCTATCTATACGTGGGTTCGTTAAATTTTTGCATGAGATGGGTAGAATATTCGTTTATTAATCATAATTTTTATTTAGATATGTATCGTATCGTTGTTTTTGCCTCTTATACCAATATCAGCCGCGATTTTTCCTTTTCTCTACAAAAAATCTGCTGCCGATTCTAAAGTAATACAAATCAAACAAGATTTTTCTAATAATCATTCCCTATTCTATTGTTACACAGGAAACTAGCAACTCAATTTCATTTGGTCAGCCAGTCGCCTATCGATCGGCGTTAGTGAAAGATTTTCTCTATTCTCGATTTCCATTCTATTTTTTGTAGATCTACAGAAGATTGGAATTTTGAGAGTATTCGAGGTCATAGACGCCAGAACACTGGTTGTAAGAAGTGGTGCACAAAGCCAATTGACGGATTGCGTGATCTATGGCTCAGAATTGTCTGGTTTTATGAAGCTCCAGTAGTGCGCTTCTACTACCATGCTGTGAGTTTTTTCTACTCTTACTCTTTTCCAAATAGCTAGACTTTGTTATTTTATTTTGAATTCAGATATTCTTCTTTGCATTTCTAATTCTCTTCAGTTATGTTCTTCTCGTTGACTATTTTCCGTTGAATATATACGGAGAAACGCGCTCTGGTTATCAAATTTTAAGAATTCCAATCTCCGAAATTGTGTTGCACATTTGCATTTGGAGTTTAATTATCGATGCATTACACCAGGTCAGTTGTCTTTTAATTTCAATCGATTTGTGTTTCATAACTCGATATATTATTAGGTGATAATACGTGCACAATTGGGTTATAATAATATTATTAGCACTTGGAATTGGGAGGATCTAGCAGCCGTTACTTTTTACTTGGTTGGATTTATTACCCGCTTTTTTGTTATCGAAACACTCTTCATTGTATCAAAGTAAGATGTTATTTGATAACAGATGATTTACTTACTTTCATGTAGGATATTCATGGCAATCGATCTGATTATTTGGTCTTTTCGTGTACTTCATCTTTTTACTGCTTATGAAATCTTGGGTCCTAAATTAGTCATGATTTATAAAATGGTGAGTATATATTATATTTAAGAATAGTATCCATCTGATTTCTAACTTTTTATTATAGATGAAAGATGCCGTTCTGATCTTCGTGTTTTTCATTCTTATTCTTCTCTTCTCATTTTCGGTTACATCCTGGTCTCTGCTAACAACTAGCAATCAAGTTAATTGGACATATGCCGGAGATGGTTCGTTATATAATGTTACTGTAACGAATGGTGGTAGTGATCTATGGACATGGCAATTGTTACGAGATGTTTCCAATTGGGGTATTTGGAAAGTATTCGGACAAACTGATGAACCATATAACGGTGTTGTTAGCGGTATGAATATATTTGTTTTGATCGTTTATTTTCGTAAATGACAAACTCTTGATTTTTTGTTAGGTAATGATGTTTATGGTACATTTGTTTACTTACTTGCAATTGCCTTCGTATTGATATCAAATATACTTCTTGTAAATGTTCTCATTGCGATGTTTAAGTAAGTGTATCAAATGCTAGATTTTTAAAATAATATTCTTTTGTACTATGTAGTGTGACCATTCAACGTATACTTGATCGATCGCGTATCATTTGGAGACATCAACGATTCTTGCTAATTTATGAATACAGCGAACGACCAGTATTGCCTGCTCCGTTGAACGTCTGTTACTATCCAGTTAAATTCATAATATATCTCTGGCGTCTTTGTTGTTGTGAACGTCCATGTGTATCATCTCGAGTCACCCAAAGTACTGGTGAAACTAAAGATATATAATATATTTTGACAAAAACTTTTCTACTTAGAAAAACAATCTGAACGTGTTCTTTCGGACATCTTATATCAGATAGATTATGAAAAAGAAATCGCCGAAATGTACTGGATACGAAAGGGATTTGTCGACAAAGAGGAAGCGCAAAGTGACAGTGATGATTATAAAAGTTTGGAGAAAAAGTATGTGTTGAATTAATGTCTTATATTACATCGGATACTTATTCTTTTCCCTTCATAGAGTCAATAAACTTAACGATGGCATGAACAGAATACTGCAAAAAAATTCTTTACCAACACTAGATATTCAACTATCTCAAGTAAGGGTGTGGGTGTGTTTTATTGATTACTAATACTATCTACACTTTCCAGACCATTTACATCAGTATAGAGGATAGGTTTACATTGCAAAAGGTTTATGAAAACTTTTAGAGGTTTTATTTAAATCTGTGTAATTTTAACCTGTTTGATATAATCATATTGAATAGTTTTTATTTTTAGAGTGACATTGAATCTATTTCTTCGACTACCAGTCTGAAGAAACATAAATCTGTAGCATTGTTTCCTACTGATTCTTCTCAATCGGCAAAAGCAGATGTTATAGGACGAGTGCGAGTAAACATTATACGAATGCTCGATCTCGGAAAACCTCTGGAATTAGAAACTCGCCGACGTTCGGCTGCTGTACCTCAGACATTACCATCTGTACATCAAAATGTGCCTGTGGTTGAGAACTCAATGAAGTTAGAATCATCTAAAACATCTGGGTATGTAATTTGCTTAATTTTGCATAAAATAATTCTAACACTGTTTACCATTTTCAGACCTGTTACTATCAACATGCGGGTTTCTCGACAAAATCAACCTAACAAAGCATTATTTAACGGGAATCGATCTAATGTGACTGATGATAACCCAATTCCATAATCAAGATATGGTGGTCATTCACACAAATATAACTAATCGCTTGTATTATCATTACTTCGATCTCTTTTTCTATATGAACTAAAATCTTCTCTACAAATTGAATAAAATCGCACACTTTTAAACGTTTTAAGAATACTTTGTCCTTTGAAACTGAACATATTCGTATAGGCACTTCTTGACGAATATTGAGAAAATGATTTCTGTTTACATCATGTCATGTAATCACGAATATTGCCTTTATGAATTGTTCGATGACATATATTACTAATGATAAAAAAATATATGCTTTCCTTTTTGCTCAATTTACTTATGTCATAACCAGAATGTTCATATTATTTTACTCATAACTCATGGATTAAAAACATCAAAGTCTGTCTTACAAATTAATAAATACTCATATTTTAGTAATCAATCATTCTATATCAATGTTCAATATATAACAGATGCTGCAGTAATAATTGAGGGTGTGGGTGTGGATGGGTGATGATAACAACGACACGCACACCTTCAACTATGTTATTGCATCAATGCTTTTTTATGTGGAAAATAATGTATCAATGAAATGAAATGGAAAGATGAAAATAAACAGAGAAGTGTTTTCGTTTCACTAGAGATTCTTTTTCTATTCATTAAAGGTTAGATATTAAGGAAAAATAAAACTAAAACATTGGCAATCATTTTACTTTTTCAGAATACAAAATCGTATAATTCTACTTATACAGATCACTTATAGCGTTGCTAGGTTACCGAAGAATTGTTGGCAGGTGATCAAGTTCAAATTCCCTCAAGAACGTGGCCAACATGAAGAAAACGAGCAGCGATATAATTTTTTTGTATTATTCAAATACATTATTAGAAAGTGAATGCAGAATAATTTTTTTTTCAAAATCAAAGGAGTCAACCTGAATATTAAATTACATTGAAATAAACTCGCGATCTTGTTCTCTGATGATACAATCAGTTAACAAAGTTTCTGTTCAGGAGTGTCCGATCTCTAATACCATTCATATTTGGAAGCTGGAACTTGGATCATCGACAAAGAATGACATGCTGATCATTTCATTCTATTGATACGAACTCGCTGGATGTTTCGTTAAAGAGCTAGTACCTAATTACTAAACTGTCACCAGGTGTCAGAATTAGAAGAACGAAGATTTCTGTTTGTTTAATTGTACAGCTCTCGCTCTCACCTTCAAAATGTTGTCCTTTGAAAAAACAACAAACAGTTTCTTTGGCAACTCGAAAATATTTTTTTGATGTTGATTTAACTATACGTCACTCATGTGATTTCATTTTTGCTGCGTCAGTAAGGCAGAATCTGATTTTGCGGAATGAATGTTTTATTGAAGTTAATGACCATAATGCATGTTTCATATTGAACAACAATGGATAATGTATTAGACAATCGAGATATATGATCAGTTTAAATATTCGCAATCATAGATGAAAAGAGTCTTTCTTTCTTATTATGCATCTTTACTGAATATCGTCTAATGATCAAACTAGTTTATTTATCTAATTAAGAGAGATTCAATATTAATGTCTGTTGATGAACAATAAGAAGTTGATTATAAAAAGTTGCCAGCACCACCGCCGAATGTTTGAGATAATTTATATACTATCGCACATAATCCCATTAAATCAACAAAATCAAGACAACCATTTTGATTTTTATCCACTAATAGAAATAATCCTTTAGTCAAATCTAAAGAAAATGCCATTATTCACAATATATATCTATTGAATTTCTCATCATACTTACATGGTGATACAAAACCAAGACCCATTTCTTGAAAATACGTTTGAATATCTTCAGTTGTAATTTTTCCATCCCCATTTTTGTCAAATGATTTATATAAGTCATACATCTTTTTAGCATTGCTAATTGTTGAACCTAAATCAATTGTAATCAGAGCCTGACAAGATTTTCGAATTCTTGTAACCTACCAATTTCACCAAGAAAACCACCGTTACCACTCTGCTCATCTTGTTGACCATCTGAAAATAGCTTATAAGTATTATATCCCGCTTGAATCATTGCTAATGAATCATTTTCATCTTTGTTTCCAGAAAACTAAATAGAGCGTAATTAGATTAGAATAGATACAACTTGATTTGATCTACCAAGCCGAAAACTGATTCTCCCAAGGACATAAAATGTGAAGATTGACGGATTCGTTCTGCTTCTTGACTTGTTTGATTTCGAAAGCCATTGATAAAGTCATCCGCATTATTAATGCCTACTGTTTCAAGCATACTGAATAATGTTCCATTCTCTAAGTGTTCACGACCGAAATTTAACAAATCTGTCAACATGTTCGATTAAATCTAAAGAAATCTCAACATTAGCTTGTTAAAATCCTCTGTATGTTAGGCATCTATTCAAGCCTACGACGTATGCGTGAGAGCGAAAAAATGAATAAGACCTTTAAGTAAAGAAAGAATCGATTTTTCTAACGCGTTGAAATAAAATCATTCTCCTTTTGAAACCATACACTTTTTTCTTAACTTGCGTTCTTCTTTTTAAATGCGTTACGTGTATGTGTATGTTTCTCAGGCAACACGACGTGGATGATCGTAGATTTAATAAAATCAAATTGAGCTATATACTTAAGATATAAATGATAATTTGCTCATCTGAACTCTTGCTTTTCAGCGATCGATATAATTAGATAAAAATAACTGTTGAATTAATGTGTTTTATAGAATAATAGAAAAAATATATGTACATGTTTGATTTGCCAGCGCGTTTCGTGTTGTTTACTAAAATCATACAACACTCATCAGGGTTCTGCATATATATATAAATCGAAAAAGAGAAAAGAAAATAGAAGTGTTGTACTCACGTAGAAATCGATCAAATCATAGATTGACCATAGTGATGAAATTAACATGAATTTCTGATCAAAACCAAATAACTTGATATTATTTGATTAAGTTGCATAATTTTAACAATTAGTTGTTCAGTAAACGAACATCGATCTATAATATTGAATTAATCTAATTGAGAAAGATTCAGTAGATATGCTTGGAAGTAATTTATTTTATATACATAGAAAATAACCTAATTGGACAAAGAACGTCTTTTTTTCCACTATTAGAAGTGTGATAAAAATAATTTGTGTTTCTACAACAAAAACAAAAATAATATTTTAATCATAAGTAAAGTATTGAGATAAAGTAATAAAAAGAATATTATAAAACTAAGCTTTGGCATATCATACAATAGAATATAAAGTTAAATTGAAACGAATCAATAGCATCAGTAATTAAAAAATATGTCGTATATATTTTTTTACATGAAATGTTTTAAGATTCTATATATAGATAGATGATGAATTTTAAAGGTTATGAATCATAATATCTAGCAAAAGTGGCTTTAAATTCTTCTATGAAATCAATATTTAGCTATACATAAAACACTAATAATCAGTTTTACGTTGTTGATGGTGTTTGTCTATAGGTGATAGTTAGGATGCAAATGTCGATATTATTTATCCACACCCACAAAATGAATTTTTTTCTATTGAAGTACATGTAATAGTCAATAAATATTATCTAATCATTCAGTAGTAGACAAAAGAATCTTTTGACCTCTATATGACTTCTTGACCTTTCTTTCTAGCATAACACTTATGCCCGAACGACGGACATTGTTTGCAATATATATATATATACGTATGCAAGTTTCATGTATGAACAGCACGAGTTGTAGTGTGAGAAGATTAATATCTTACGTAGCATCATGTGTACTCAGAAAAAATCTGTTAATGTCATTTCTGATCAATTTATAACAATGACAGAGGAATCTGTAACAACAGACGTAAGTATTTATCAAACATATCCGAGCTTAACAGTTAATTTAAAGAATAGCTGTCTATAAGATGAATCTTTTACGTAAAACAACATTAAAAATAAAAATGCGTCGATCTTTTAGAGAACCATCATTAAAGTCGGATATCGACATTTACCTATCATGTGCATCACAATATGTTTGATGGGCAGCATGCTTATCTTTGATTGCATTTACAATTTCTATGTAAGTTTCCTATAGGTTTCCATCAAAAATAAAATTCTCTATATATTCACATAACGTATATTTAGACTATGAAAGATATTGGCAAAAGTTTTGGAGAACTCGTTACGATACTCTTTATCAATTCATTCAGTATTCTTTGTTTTGGTTGGCCTAAAGATGAATCGTTCGATCCAGCATCAGCGGGAACAAATAGGGTAAGTGTATTATTTATCGAAATTAAAATGTAAATTGTGTGATTTGTCAACTAGATAAAGTTTATCAAAACCACTCACGACTGGGGTCTAGTTGTGCTACCATTTGCATTTGCTGCTTGTTTGCTTAATCTTTGTTTTAGTGACCTTGTCACAGTATGTTTTCTTTTTTGACATATGGACTGAAATATAATTTGTTTCTTTGTCATAAATAGTTCACTTGCGCCGCCAATCAAATTTATTTTATTTGTTTGGCAATTTTTGCAATCATAGTTGGTATTTTCATTTGTTTTTGGTTGTATTATGATACAAATATTGTGGGTTATGATTCTATAATAAATATTAAAAAACAAGTGAGTTATTCATTATCTTAATTCTTTTTCATTAATTAGCAGAAAATATTTTAGAAAATTCCTTTCAAATGGTTATCATTATGGATGTACAATTTGAAACATATGTTGATGAAAAATTACGCTGCGAATGGCATGATAGTCGAGAGTGATTGACTGATATATAATTTTTTTTGTAAATATAAATCTTTAAAATAAATTTGAAGAAGTAACAATTACAGTCGAACCCGCTTATAAGAGCCTAGTCAGGGAATCAAAAAGTGGCTCTTTTATCTGAACTATATGTAAAATAAAGCAACAATTGATTCTTATCAACATTTATTAAGTATTACATAGATACACACACATACATAAATTTATTTAAAGAAATCCGTGATTTTACATTGAGTACGATTGATTGAAGCGTTCTTTTCGATCATGTCTTCGATATCATAATATGAATTATAATGTGTAAAATGCTCTTCCAAATACTTGCGAACTGTCGAAAGACACATCAGCTCATCTTTATGAGAGACACCTGGCATCGGTTTATCAACAATTCCAGCCTCTTCTTCTTCTTCCTCTAAATCGGTCATTCCTTATCGATTTAGTTTCACTGAATCGCAAATTTCGACATCCGTGAGATTTCCAAAACATTCGGTTTCCTTATCACAATCGACTCTGAAAAATAAAGATTCAACGAAAAATAAGGAACAATATATAGGGCATAGAAAGAAGAAAAATATCATAGATGATGAACATGAAAGAAAGAAGAACGAAGGAAAGGAAAAATTCATCACATATATATGAGAGAAAAGAAAAAGAAGAAGAACATAGTACATATATAATCATACAGATAAAAAAGCTCTTTTATGCGGACTAAAATCGCAAAAAAGTGCCAAAAAACGGCTCTTATGAGCGGATAGCTCCTTTATCCGGGGCTCTTATAAACGGCTTCGATTGTATATTGACTATCGTTCCTGTTTATGAATCTCTTATTCTGTCAAGTTTATTGTAAACACGTAGAAACTACCTATTGAATTAAACGAAAAAGTTAAAACGAACTAAACATTGTAGGTGATTCTGAGATATGGCAAAGCTTGATCAAAACAATAGACAACTGTTTCAGTTTTAGACATTCATCAAGAGATTTCAACTATGAGAAAATCTTTTGTTAATAAGATTTATATATTAATCATTAAGACAAATAATCCTGAAAAATTAAGACATTTGTTGTCTTTTAGACGTAAAGATGGAATAGTTTATTGATAAATAAATAAATAATTAGAATAAACTCCTAAAAAGAAATGTGGTTTACTAATCTTTGAATGCAAATATTTTAAATTCATATGATTTTAAATCAAGAGCAGTCATCCTATTCCGCAATGTTGAACATTTCAGGAACCAGTTCCGCTCCGGAATCGATTCCGTTCAATTCCGGGAACTCGATCGACACATAATATCCGATACCCACTCGAAAATTGATCGAGTTCCGTCCAATTCCGGAATTGGGAGGAATTCCGTATAATTCCGGAATCGGTGGGAATTCCATGTAATTCAGTAATTAGAAGTGGTCCACGCAATTCCGGAATTGGTGGGAATCGGTAGGAATGCCGGCCAATTCCGGAATCGGAACCAATTCCCGTAATTCCGGAATCGGTGGGAATTCTCAGGAATTCCGTCCAATTCCACCGAATTCCGTCTTGATGAAATTCCCGGAATTCCGTAACGGAATTAGATCGTATCCAGACGGGATAACTTATCAGTACAACACAATAAATGTGGGTGAAGTGGATGGTGTGATTCCGGTACGGAATTCCGGAATCGGAACCAATTCCCGCAATTCCGGAATTGGTAGGAATTGGCGGAAATTGGTAAGAATTCTGTGTAATTCCGTAATTAGAACTAGTCCACGCAATTCCGGAATTGGTGGGAATCGGCAGGAATTCCCAGGAATTCCGTCCAATTCCAATGAATTCCGTCTTGATGCAATTCCCGGAATTAGATCGTATCCAAACGGGATAACTTATCAACACAACACAATAAATGTAGGTGAGGTGGATGGTGTGATTCCGGAATCGGTAGGAATTCCGTGCAATTCCGGAATCGGTAGGAAATCCGTACAATTCCGGAATCGGTCGAACGCGATCAATCTCGGCTGGGTGTCTTATGTTATGTGTCGATCGAGTTCCCGGAATTGGACGGAATCGATTCCGGTGCGGAACTGCCCATGTCGCTCTTTTTTCCATAAAACCGTCGGTAACCGTCGGTTGTGCTAAGAACCAGCGGTGACCGGTGGTTGAAGCTAGAACCGACTGTTAACCGCGGTTACCGATCGGTTTCGACCAGCGGATTTTAACGATGAAGCGATAAACAAAAACAAACAAACTATATGTACTGATATAAAAAAAATTAGAAATAATCATCAATATGATTAGAATTCTCTTGTTCTACTTGTTTTATCAAGATTTAGGGAAACAAAACTCATATTTTAAAGCTATACTAAGATGTCGCTTTTTTCTTTCTCATTGGATTGATTGAAATTGTTCAAGACTTGTTCATTAGATAAAGGACATAATGAATGAATCAATTGTTGAAGATAATTTTTTAAGTTTATAATATCTATGTATATGGTTTCCATTTTTATTTGTTAATTTGTCTTGAAATTTCTTGCACAATTAATTTTATTTTTAGATATCAATATTTCATTCATGTATCAAAAATCGTTTTATTCTCGTCGAGTTACCAAAGAAAAACGTAAATAGCAATTGTATCACTATTTTTCGTTTTAAGTAATAAATTTTTATTTTCAAGATCAATGTCGCATTAAATGGTGATCAATTTGGTGATGAAAATATAATTGTTGACGATTCACCATTTAAATCTACATTAGTGAGTTATATTTAGCAGGTTTTGCTTATGAACTTTTGGCTGTTGTTTTTTTTTAGATTTATGTCAATTCAGAAGGCGTATCTGTAGATCTACTTCAGTTATATGGTGCTCAAACTCATATGGATCGTTATGTTACTCTTGTAATGGATAAGTTATTTACATTCGAAGAAATAACAACCATTACTAAAGAGGAATTGGTAAAGGATGAACGATACTTAATTATTAAAGGTAAAACAAAAATCAGTTTTTATCATAGTCACTTCTTAAATATGGTTCTATCTAGAAGCAGTTCGATCAAGATTCAAGCTGAATCATGAAATGTTACGGTCTGAATGGTCAACCTTGCATGAATGCATTCTTCAAAAGAGACGCAATAAATTGAAGGAAAAAAAAGTAGTGCTGGTTATATAACAGTGCAGCCTGCACCACAAGTAGCACTGCAAAACAGCTTTGATGACTTTATTGGTTCACTTGCAAATTAGAAAGATTCTTGTTAAATATCGTTTTTACTTTTATTTTATTAATTCAAGTATTTTTACTTTATTAAAAACATTCATTTTTTATATGTTATATGATTATTGTTATAATATGTAGTACTTCTTTATTAACTGTTTTTGTAATACAGTCATAGTTAGAATAGTAGAACATGTACTTAATTAATGTTATTTTATGTTGTAAGTCGTGTTTTTGTAGACGCATTCTTCCTGTATGAAAACATAATGTACGCATTTTTTTCGTTTGTCTCATTACAAGTTGATTTTGTTGAACATGTGTGATGTTAAATAATGATAAGTGATTTTTTGTATTTCAATGATTTAGAGTGCTTTTTTGTTGGTATGTTAGAGATTGATTTCGATGAGATTTAAATAAAGTCTAACTAAAAGCTGGATGTAAATTGAAACTTTTACTGTATGCTAAATTCAATCGTTATATATCAGTAAGACCATGAAGAAAACCGCCGGTGGAATGCAGTTAACGGCGGTTAACTGCGGTAACCGGAACGGTCAAATGGGCGTTCAAGCGGACGGTAAACTGCGGTTAACTGACGGTTTTAAAGCGATTTGTATGACATGGGTGATTCCTCCAATGTTCAACATCGCGGAATAGGATGCATTCTCAAAAATATCATTTATAAACTGAAAATGATTAAACAAAATGTCCGACTAACTACTTTTATTAATTATCGTTAACAAAATGAATAAGATTAGATTTAATAAATTAATTAAATCTTTTGTGGACAATATCAAACGGTGCATCTTTTCAGAATAAAGATAAATATTAAATACGAATAGTATCATTTTTTATTTCACATTTATATGATCATAAACTTCATTAGCTCTCTCTCTTATTCATAGTGAAAAATGAAATTCGACTGAAAAATGTCACTTAGATCATTTGGAACAATCAAAAGCTGATTAGCAAGATCTGTTCTATTACAGCCATCCTACCGCAAACATTCATCATTTTAACATCAAAAAGTGTTTCAGTTTGCTTCATCGTCAGTAAAATGAGTAATTAGCTAGATAAAACAACCGAATCCTTTTATAATTCAATATGCCACATACAGAAAACAAGTGAATGAAGCACAATTGTTTAGGGTGTGGGTGTAGGTGTGCATGAGTAATAAACCCTCGCACTCTCAACTCAATGTTAAAAATTAAGTGTACCACTTGTTTTGCCAAAAGCATCTTGAGGGTATGGTTGTGGGTACTGGGGGTTATTATTTATCTACATCCACACCCACCCCTTTTTTTCATTATCTATAACTGGTTCCATCACATTTGCATTGTCATCGCATGATGTGAAGTTCTAATGGACCTAGACATAGTGGCTCTAAAACTGAGTATATATATATATTTCTTTTCCTTTATTTTATTGTACATCATTTAATTAAACTTTCACTTTCATATCTTTCTTTTTCTTCTTTATGTTTTAATCTTGAGGGTGTGGAGGTATCTGCTTTATGGTCACCCACACTCAAAAAATACTCAAGGGTGTGGGTGCGGATGAGAGATAACTAAAATTCTTTAACCCTCATCCATCCATCTATATTAAATATTTTCAGAAAAAACCAATAGTTCTTAAAAATTATTAGAGCTTTTCTCTGTTTTTAAAATATAATTTGTATAATTGAATTAAAAATGAATCACACATTTTTAGACTATTAATGGTGGGTGAGCATCACGTTTTTCTTTTATCCATAGCCTTGCCTACACCTTCAAGATTGCCTACTACCATCTTAATTGTTCTTATGAGAACATTGCATGTTCTAACAATGATCGTGACGTGTAAGTTAAAAAATTGTGTTAAGGAAAAATATGAGAAAAACAACTACTAACGGTAAAATGAACAAAGGATGACGTAGAAACAGAACAAAAAAAATGAGTGACTATAACACAACGACGTTAGTAGTCGGTTTTTTTAACTGTAGGCGAAAGAAAAAGAACAATGTGATGGTGGTTGTCTCGTTACTTGACTGTCAACAAACATGAATGTTTTTAGTTTACTTCCTGTGATATCCTCTACTTGATATATAAGTTTTCAAGGAAAACTTTCGTCACTGCCGAATCATACAAGAACGAGAAACGGTGTACGTATATATTTTTCATAGATTACCTTACTTTCTACTTGAACTTTATGAGATTTGCAGATAGGAAATCTCAATTAATTCTATTTATAGTGATTGATATCAATGGGAAACTGTTCTACATCACCTTTGGTACAACCAACATCAAATGTAATAGAATCGAATGAAGATCACAACTATCAGGATACTCCTACTATTGCTAATCTCATCGATCAAATCAACATTCATACTGATGCATATCTTGAACGTGCAAAACTCGAGTTTGAAACTAAATACGCTCAATCATTATGTGAAACTGCTAAAATAGAAGATTTTCAATTGCAAAGAACTATCGGTACAGGTTCATTCGCTCGTGTAATGCTTGTTAAGCATGATAATCATTTATTGGCATTAAAAATAATGAAAAAACAATCGATCATTGAAATGAATGTAATCAAACATATTCTATGCGAAAAACGTATTCTTCAAGCTATCAATTGTCCATTTATTGTTCATTTAATATATGCATTTAAAGATAATGCACATCTTTATTTAGCACTCGAATATGTCAGTGGTGGTGAAATGTTCGCTAATCTTCGGTTAGTCAATTGATTTTGTTTTATTAAAATTGTCAGGATTATTTGTAGAAAAGTAGTCAAATATTCCGAAGATCACGCACAATTTTATGCTGCTCAGATTGTACTTGCTTTGGAATATTTACATTATTTAAGTGAGTCAACAAGACTTATGACATCAATTTTTATCTATCTGTTGTTTTTTCTAATTGTAGATATCATCTTTAGAAATATCAAACCTGAAGATATTTTATTTGCAGCTGATGGCTATTTGAAATTAACTGATTTTGGATTTGCCAAAGTTACAGAAGATCAAACATTCACACTATGTGGAACTCCTGAAGTAATCTTTTTAATATTCATCTGTTTTTGAAATTATCGTTCATCATTTAGTATATGGCACCTGAGATTATTGTTGGAAGAGGTCATAATAAAAGTGTGGATTATTGGGCATTGGGTATTTTAATATATGAAATGACAACAGTAAGTTAGGAGCCACATGTAATTAATTTGATTCTAATATTTTCCACAAGGGTTCAACACCGTTTGCAGCAGATGATCCAATAGAAAATTATAAGAAAACACTTATAGGAAAATTCGAAATTCCGGCTCACTTCTCATTCGATCTTACGGATCTCGTGAGTAAACTTCTTGAAGTTCATCCAACAAAACGTTATGGTTGTTTAAAAGATGGCACAAAAGATATTAAAAACCATAACTGGTTCGCATCAATCGATTGGATTGCCATTCGTGAAAAACGTCTTCAAGCACCATTCATACCACAACCCGGTGTAGAATACTATAAAAACTACAAGGAAATATCGTCTACATCTGCGGAAACTATCATGTATTCAACTGAATTCGATAGTTTCTAATATTTTCTTGTATTCAACACACTATTATCATTGAGAAACAAATAAAACTCTTCCTTGAACATTCCTTTCGACTTGTATTTCGCAACAATTGATATAATTCATGTGATTTTATACTTGAGAGTGTGGGTGAAGATATTAGATGAATATAAAATATTCACTATAAAAGCTTAAGAGTACGAGATAGGTAATTTATGAAAATAAACAAGGAAAGCTACTTATCATCCAGATTTACATGCAATTTTAATTAATTGTTTTCAATTTTATTTTTAAAATAGTTGCAGAAGACGAACAACATTCATACGATATTCATATGTGTTTCCACAAGACAACTAAACCTAATCCTTCAAAGGATACAATACAAATAAAGAATATACATCCATCCACATATTTTTCAGCGTATATATATAGAAATAGATCATGCTCGTTTAATCATTGGTATATCTCTTATTGTAGGTCCAACAGTAGCAGTGCGGTGTGGTTGTCTTGGTGCTCTATTATATATTTTGTTTTTGATTTTTCTACGTAAGTCCGGATATTGAGACAAAGATGCGAATGGGAAAAGAAAAATAATGAAGTAACCAAAGAAATAGAAATAAAGTTCAGCTTCAACACCGTATTGTGGTGGGAGACCACATAAATGTGCAAGCGGTATTAAAAAGATTGGTAGAGATATACCAATATTTAGGCTTGAAACCATAAATAATTGAATAATCATTCGTCTTTGTTTACGCCAGTTATTTGATTGACGAAGACGTCGTCTGTGGCATTGAACACGTAAAATAAGACCAATACTAACAATGCCTTCCAAGAGGATTGGTATAATAGTATTCACAATAAAATCCCACATACCAAGAATGCCATAGGATTGATAACATGGTGTCGCACCACATACTGGTATATCATAACTGTAAGTATTCTCACAAGGTACAAAGAAAATAGCAATTGTATAGAAGATAAATATATATGTCACTAACATAATTAATGGAAGATAATGGAAAAGAAATCTTCCTCTTTGATTTAAAACCCATCGATCATGAAATATTAAAATATGTCGTTCGATAGCTAACCATGCCATGAGAATGATTATTCCAATATAAAAACCATAATCAGCAACCCACCATAAAAGACATACAATCGGTTGCGATGGTGTAACAGAACCATAATGAAAGAACACAAGATAAAAACCAATATCCATTATTTGAAGTGGTAAACCAAAGAGTATTATAAGAAGAATAGTATGATTATGTAATGCATATCGATGAACTCGATTCATAATAATATGAATTATAATAAGGAAACTACAAATTGTTGATGGAAAGTCGAACAAAAGCATAATCCAAAAACGAACTGAACGTGGAATAGATACTTCGGAACTATCGAAAGTAGTAGTACTACTATCGTCCGAACTGTTGTCAGAAGAAGACATTATTGGTTATATAAACAAAATGAATAAAATAAAAAAATGTTGAGACTTTTCTCATTCTTAATAACATTTATTTTTAATTACATAGAGATGTCAATATGTCAAATATAAAGCAAGACAGTAATACATAATGCAATGAACGTCATTAATAATTTTACAGCATCAATAATTCTTTTCTTTTTTCGTAATTACTAAAGTACCTGTTTTTAATTTGTTCGGATTATTCTAACGTTATGTCACTTCTATCTCTACAAACAAATAATATGAAAGAGTATATCTATTTTAATCAGAATCGTACTTTATCAGGTCAAGTTTTTAGAAAGTATTATTCCTTGATCAGGACCTACCAGACTTTCGATCAAATTCTTAATCTCAGAAACGATAAGATCCGACTAGCAGCACGTGTCGGTTTACATAATAGCAGAACCCTTCCAATCATCAAATTTATTGAGACCTAATTGTTTGTAGACATATTACAATACCAAATTCATCCCAAATTCTTTATATTATAGGATTTAGTCGTTCTCTTCAATTACAACGCTGATTGATTATAATAAAGTACAACAATTAGCTTACTTATACTTCGCAGAGCATATTCAAGGTTTTCGATCTGTTTTTCTGCTTTTTATATTTTCAATCAACATTTCTATATTTGAAAGACTATTTTAAAAAGTATAACGATAAATCTTTATCAATATTAGCTAGTATCTTTGATCTATTCTAATTCTTTAATAAAATAAAGTTCTTTTTTGTTCAGCTTTTCTCATATATCCTTATTCATCTAATAACCTATTTTTTCTAACAGACGTCTTTTCTGAATATGAAGAATCATTGTTTTTATTTCTCCTATTGCTCACTATCCAAGACCATAATGAAAAAGCTTCTTTACCTATTCTCTGCATAAATACTCTGTGTTTTTCTAACAAAAAACAGTAAAAATATTCGCTCGTGCATAGCGTCGTATATTTAACTTTATTCATCTAATTGATACAAATCAATATCTACAAATATTTGAATTTGTTTGGCGAATGTGATTACTTAAGGATAGGTGTGAGTCCATTCGTATATAAATATGAGAGATATTTCCACACCCACACCCTAACTTCATGTTCTGAAAATTTTGATTATAGCCAACGAAAGAATTTTTTAAAAATCTCATTTATCAACGAATGAGAAAGATATAGAGTCAAGTGTAATCATATAATTCAAAAACAAAACAAAAAAATAGATTTTATTTCAAATGAATTTTCAAATTTTGGCATTAATTCATTTCGCTATAGTTCTAGTTTTAAATGAATCTATTGATCTCCAATTAATATAAAATCGAAAATATGAATTTTTTTAATGTTTCAGTTTTTAAATGAAAGCAGCGATGCGTAGAGTTTTGACAAACATATTGCTTAGAATATGAATTTTGGGGTTGTAGGAAAACGTCGAAACTTTAAAAGACTATAGTACAAAAAATTTAATTGTTTTCGTTTTTACTGGTCACTCCTGTAACCAGCATATAGTAATTTTGATTCAACAAAGAAAATTTTCTCATATTATAGATATACATATAATTTAAATGGCAACAAACTTAAATTGATACAAAGTGAACATACTCGTTTCGAGCATATTTCACTACAACTTGCTGCTGGTGCATCTGCACCACAACAATCAACAAAAACAAAAGCTTTTCAGGCGCGATTTGATACTCTATGTAACAGATTTTCCAAGAAGGAAATTAACACGAACGAGTTATTGATAGGCTTCTCATTGTTAATTGAAAAGAAAAAAAAATAAGATTTTCGTACATTATAAATTTTCTCTCATCTTTTTCTTATAACCTAATACATATACTACTTAACATACATAAAAAAAACTGATCAATCATTTCGACGTTTTCCTCGTCCACATTTTTCTTTCGATATTTTCCTCTTTGTCTTCTTCTTATTTTCAACGTTTTCCTTTTCGATGTTTTCCAGCAAGACCTGAATTTTTATGATTAAATAAACGATTAAAAATCAATGATTTATCGTCAATATAATTGAATATAAATACGCGATTTTAACTTCATTGACACATTTCATATCAGTATATATTAATGAAAGTTCGATTTTAAAATCATAAAATTCTAATTAATTAGTCTATATGATATTCTCCAATCAAAATAAAAACGTAAAAGAGAAGAAATATTTGCACAACTATCATGTTAACTTATAATAATAACCACAAACGCAGTATGTATGACCGAAAGAACGAAGAGCAAATGATCACGCATTTAACGAGTGTTATAAAAATATGATCAGAACTATATATAGAAAAGTGAAATCAACCTATGGGTACTATGTTTTGCGCAACGAAAAAAAAAATATTATTGAAGAGGCGATTGATTGTGAAGGTTTAAATTGGTTTCGTAGGTGGTTATAAAATTTGCTTTCTTCTTTTTGTATACGAGCGTAATGAGAAGAGCGTGGGATTAATCGTCAACGTTAATATATCGAAGAAAGAAAAAAAAAAGGTAATGGTTGAATGAGCCAACTTATAGGATAAATAGATATTTTTTTTGTGTATTGTCGTCGTGACGGTTTATTCTTTCTTTACGTAGTTCGATATGTAAGTTAATCTTTTTTTTTTATTCGTTAGTAAAATATTATTATTTTATAGGATATCACAAGAAGAAATTAATCGTTGGAATGTTGAATTACATGGTCAAAGTCCAAGTGAAATTATTCGTTGGGCATTATCTCAATTTGGATCTGATGAAGCAATAGTTTCGACTAGTTTTGGTCCTTATGCATCCGTTCTTCTTCGATTAGTAACAGAAATCGATCCATTAATATCAATTTTATGGGTTGATCATGGATATAATCGTCCAGCAACATATAAATATGCTGAAAAATTACAAAATCTTCTTGATTTAAAACTTCATGTTTATTCTCCTCGATTAACAGCAGCACGTCGTGATGCACTTTTTGGATCTTTACCAATTGCACGTGATAATGAAGGTGCTTTACGACAATTTAGTATTGCAATGAAATTAGAACCATTTACTCGTGCAATGGAAGATTTAAAACCTCGTATTTGGATTGCTGGACTTCGTCAAGAACAAAATTCAAATCGTCAATCACTTGATATTGTTTCATTTGATTCAACATTTCAAGTTCTTAAAATCAATCCATTATTCTATTGGACAGATGTTCAAATGAAAGAATATCTTCTACAAAATAATCTTCCTAATGAATTCGATTATTTTGATCCGGCTAAAGGTGATGAGAAACGAGAATGTGGACTTCATGCTTCATGGGCACGAAATGCGGTTAATAAACAAAAAGCAAACAAATAAATATTTCACATTCTTTTGTTTCTTGTCAGATCTTATTTAGCATAGTGATTACTCCGGTCAACATCAAAATTACAACGAATGTTAATATTTTTCTACTCTTAAATACTGTTTTTTATTTATTTTTTAAATAAAAATTAAATGGTAATAATTATAATTTATTCAGCCTCTAATATAAAGTTTTATTCAACTAGGACATCAGCATAAGTATATGCTTATTTATAAATGTCTTAACCAGTGGCGGATCTAGGATTTTGGAAGAAGGGGGGGGGGCGATTTTTTTTTTTTAGTATGGAGTGACAATACCTGGGGAGGGGGTGGGGAGATTTTGTTTTTTTTGAGTATGGAGGGGCGATATAGGTTAAAAGCTAGTTTTGGAGTCCAACCGAAGTGGTGTGAACCTATTTTTTCGTTCATTTTTGAAGTAAAAAATCAAAAAAAAATTCGGAAGGGGGAGGGGGCGATCGCCCCCTCCTAAATCCGCCACTGGTCTTAACTATCACCATGTGATTCAAACCACTTCAAAACGATCAGTCAACTGCGGTCATATTCTTGCATTTCTAACTGCACAAATATTTTTTAAATTTTAAAAAATTGTCAAATTTTAGTGGAAACCACGCTTCCTTATATATATAAACGTGCTGAAGCCGCTGGTACTAGTCACATCGCTTAATTTTACTTATAGTTTTTGAGCTTGAATATAATTAAAGATGGCGCTATAAAAAATAGTCATTAGTTCGAGTCTTAACCTATAATCACGAATTTTTGTGAAACATGTTGTAAATTATTAGAAAAAGACTTCTTCGATAAAAAATAACGTCTTTATAACATTTTGTAACGATATGATAGAAAAAGCGATTTAAACCACTGGTTTTTCAAGGAACCGGCGGTTTTGATAAAAAATCGAGTACATGGGAAAATAATGATTTGTCAACCATTCAAAATAATTAAACAGAGAATATATTATTGGTATACTAAACATAACAGCACGTCTTATTACGTGTAATTGTTATCTGTCAGAAGAATTGGCAATGGTTGAAGTATACTTTAAAATATTGATACAAATAGTTTATTTTTAATGGTTAATAGAAAGTCTAGTTATTAACGTTTTTTTCATATTTACATCACTATGAAGTTTTAGTCTTTTTGTTCTTCGTTCGTCAAAGAAATAAATTCATAAAATAGAACGTCAATGGAAAGAGAACAGAAAAAAGTCAATTTTCTCTAATCATCATAAACAACAACAGTAGATAGAGCAGATAATAATAGAAGACCCTTCTGGAAAATTTTTCTATACAAATTATGTGTATTTTAGCAAAATTTAGACTTAATGTGTTAAACTAGTAGCTTCTGCTAATAATGGTTCATTTGAATGTCCAATGCGTGATGGAATTCAAATCTAGTCTCTCGTAATATAATTAATTTACAAAGTATGTATTGAGTCAAAGAATAAATTTTGTTCATCAACCGATACTATAAAATGGTGTAACAATTGTAAAAATAATTATTGTATGATATGTAGTAAAACTATTCATGATTTTCCTGCATTTAAAAATCATCAATTAACTTTCGATTCAATGTCATCATCAACAATTCTTGCTTTTAGAAAATACGATCACAAATGATTTCAAAACTACGGTCAGTAATTTAACAGATGCATTAACAGAAAACAAAATAAGAAGAATATTGTTTATTAGGATTCATACCGATTTTATTTACATAGGCACTCGTTACATTTAGTTGATTTATAGACATTAACATCGTTAGGTTTCTCTAGAAATAATTTTGGAGAAAATGGAGCACGATATTTAGCTGAGATGTTACAAGAAAATAAAGTAATCTTCAAAATAAATTTTTTCTGTGTTTCATAGTTACCTATCGAAGTCAACTTCGAGATAATGAAATAAAATATCTAGCTGATGCATTAGAAAATAATAATGTTAAATCAAACTCGATTTTATACTTTTTTTTCTATTGATTGTCGCTTCTTGTTATAGATACTTACAACCTTAGGTTTATTTAAAAGGGGGTGGTCGAAGATCGTCAGTTTTAATGCACTCTAGAAATGTCATAATACGAAAGTCCTTGTCACCCAGATCACGAATCTGACATCCGTTTGTCTAGATCTGATCCTTTTTGCTCCAATAATTTCCAATATTTTATAAGGAAAAATGGGATTTTACCGTATTTTACTATGTTTTTTTATTTTGACGATAGCGTCGTCATTTCGCAATAGAATTCAAAACTTCCTTATACGAAAATGTTTAGCGAAAAAAACTCTACAAAGTTTGAGGGAAAAGAAAATTTTCTGAATACTTATCTGTTTGTGTTCGAAACCTCACGGAACTACCCTACTGAAACTCAGGTACCCCACTATGGCAAACACGGCAAGAAAGGGATCAGATCTAGACAAACGGATGTCAGATTCGTGATCTGGGTGGCAAGGACTTTCGTATTATCACATTTCTAGAGTGCATTAAAATTAATGATTTTTCGACCACCCCCTTTACATGAGTGACGAAGGAGCAAAACATTTAGCCAATGCATTACAACACAATAAAGTAATGTAACTATTGTCTTCTTTTGTCTTTATATTAATTTTTTCATATATTTTTAGACGTTGAAGAAATTAGGTCTTTTTATAGACGAAATCAAAGATAATCTAATCAATGCATTACGAGATAATAAAGTAATTTTTTAATTTTCTATACTTACCCGATAAATTTATTTTCATGTTCATATAGACACGCACAACGTTACGTATGTCTACTCAAAAACATCAAAATGAAGACACTTATAAAATCTCAACCTATTCGAAATGAAATTGAAACTATAACTATTGAAAGTATGACTGATACTTTAAGAGAAATAAAAGTAATTTACTATCCTACTTTATTGTTTTGTTTTAGACATTTTCAAATTTTACTCAGTATCTTAATAATCCTGGTATTTATATGTCGGCATACGTATGGGAATGTATTTAGATACATTCATTAAAAAAATTGAGTTCTTATTATGAATTTATTAGTTTTTTTTTCGTGAATTTTATTACAACAACAAAAAAAAAGAAAATAATAATAATATTTAACTTGAATCAATATCAAATTTTTGTACTCGATGATTATTATAATCAACAACATAGAGATTACCGTGTCGATCAAGCGATAAACTTACAGAACAATTAAATTGATTTGCTTTTTCTCCTTCTTTATTTCCACCAACAACAATACTACCTTCATGTGAGTCTTTGAACCAACGCATTATTCGATGATTTAAAGAATCAGCTACATAAACATTTCCTAAATGATCAACAATTACACCTTGTGGAAGTGATAATTGTGTAAGACTATCTCCTTGACCTTGTCCACCAGCAACAATAATTCCTTCTTTTGCATCTTTTATCCATTTCATCACACGATTATTATTACAATCCGATACATAAACTGCATAATTTTCATCAACAAAAATATAAGTTGGACAACTAAGTTGATTTAATTTATCTCCTTTTCCATTTCCACCAGCTACAATTGTTCCATCTATGTCTCCTTGTTTCCATCGTCTAACTTCATTTTTTAAACAATCCGAAACATAAATATCTCCTTTATTATCCATTGTTAAACCAATACAATCAATATCATTAATGATTGTTTCTTGATGTATATTAATTCGACGTGACCATCTTACAACTCGTCTATTACCTGCATCACATATAAGAAGACAATCATTGCTTTTATCAACAATAACATCTGTTGGACTATTTATTTGATCAATTCGATTTCCTTGTCCATTACCTCCAGCAATAGTTCGACTAATATTCATATTAGATTTCCATTCAACAATACGATGATTTTCATAATCAGCAATATAAATCAAATCATCATTATCAATATAAATTCCTTGAGGAAAATAGAGTTGATTTAATTTCTTATCACCAACATTACCACCAATAACAGTTAGTCCATTTTGTTTCCATTTTGTATTCTTATTAATATTCTTCGATGAGACGATTTTTCCTTAAATAAAAATATAAATTAGATTTTTATAGATCGATAATAGTAATAATCGAATATAAGTGTTATAATTAACTCTAGGACTTGTTTAGAATAATTACAATACTATATTTGAAATAGAGATTTTTTCAATCTGGAATTCCCGTGAAGCATCTTGAAAAATCTATGTCGTTAAAATCACGACGATTTCTATGATTTTTTTTTAAGATGTCGCCATTATAACATAAACGAGATTGGATAATTAAGAAAACAAAGATTTTATTCATTTTGATTTCAAATATATGTCTTACCAGAAGATCGAACTACAGAAATTTTGTAAATAAGTGGTGTCATATCATGTTTTAATGAAACATTAGGTGGTTGTTGAAGTTGACGTTGTATTTGTTTAAATTTTTCTTTAAATTGATTTAAATCTGTTTCATCAAAATTATTTTCTTGACGAATTTCTCTTATTTGTTCACTAAATTTTTTTAAATGTATTTCAATTTTATCATAATATTGATTTCTATAATCCATTAATAATTGTCTACATTCATTTGCTGTTTGTTGAATTATTTTAATTGAATCTTGTTCCCATTGATTAATTTGTTTTAAAAATTTATCATTACTAACAAGATTCGTTTGTTTATGAAGTTTTTGATTAACAACATCACGATTAAGTTCAATATGTTCTAATTGTCGACTTAATTCTTGACGATGATATGTTAAATGATTATAACAAAAATCTTGCAAACAACCTGTACATTTTGATGTTGTTTTATCCTTTGGACAATTTAAACATTGAGGTTTTTTATAATCAGTTGTCATTGAATGAAACGTATTCTATATGCCTAGACAAAAAAAAATATATATGAAAATGTAGGGAGTAAGTTCATATCTATTAACCAACCCTTTCTTTTTTATTGTTCTACATGTGTGAGAGCAAAAAAAAACGAATATTTTGTCGCATGGATGACATTGTAGAACAATAGACGTCGTAACTCAATGAAATGTCTAGAGGATAAAAGTTATAGAACGAAAGAGTATACTCTATTGATCATTTATCCTTTAATAGACCAAGGATATTTTTTTTGAATAAATGAATACGTATTTGTATAACTGAAAATTCTCGTTGTAATTAACGTCGTCCTTCACGATAAAAAAAAATCTCTGATTGAAGTAAAAAATATTTATTTTATGCGATAAGATTAAAAAATAAAAAGACAAAAGAATAGAAGCAGCATGTCTATTAAAATTATATTAGAAGTAGATATTGGTGAGACTGAAGTAGATGTTGGTGTGACTGAAGTAGATGTTGGTGTGACTGAAGTAGATGTTGGTGTGACTGAAGTAGATATTGTTGTGATTGATCCATCAAGATCTTTGAAAAATTGTACTTCATATGGTGAAAAAGGTTTTCCACTGGCATTAAAAATATCATGAAACCATACGAGTGGAGTAGAAGCATTTTCTGGTGATCCCCATGGAAAATATGTTTGTGTTTTACCGGCTACAAGTCCCCAATTGATTGCACCAATTTTTTCTTGATGAAAAAATAAAGTATTTATATGAAAAGTACTACCAACTGGTCGAGCCATGTATTCGGTACAAATTAATGGTCGATTGAATTTTCGTAATCCAGCAACTTGTTCCATAAGATCTGCAAGAGGTTGATAATTATGAAAGGTTATTATATCAGATGATTCCAATTCAAATACAGATAATGAAGCATTTAAAGGTTCAGGAAGAATACCAAATGTAAGTGGTTGTTGAGGATTAGCTGTTAAAGCAGCAGAATAAATTTCACGAAGTAATGGTAAGACGATAGGTACTTGTTGACTGCATTGAGGTTCGTTGTATAGATCCCAGAAGATTATACGTGAATCATTTGAAAAGCGAGAAAGAATATCAGTTGTGTATCTAGTTAAAAAAAATAATCAATTAAAATTTTTTTAATGAATTTGAATTCTATACATACTGTTTTAAGAAAGGCCATTTGGTTTGATCGAGAAGCGATTCTTGACCTGGACATCGTACCCATTGAGAATTATGTTGACCTGGAATAGGATCTGGTTGTGGACCTAATTTGGGTTCAGGTCGCCAACATTCATCAAAAAGAACAAAAGCAATTTTAATGTGAAATCTATCGGCAATAGTAAGAAAATCATCCATTTGTTTGTAATATGCTTGAGCATCTTGTTGATAAAAGAGAACATGAAGAAAAACACGCATTATATTCATATTGATATCTTTAGCCCATCCAAGTTCTCGTTCCATGGTTGCAGTATCAAATGTTTGCCACATATCGATTTCATTCACGGAAGTCGATGGTACAAAGTTCGCTCCAAAATACCAAGGTTGCTCAGCATACCAAGCATTCGCTTTTTCAGCTGTCCAACGAGCGCCATTAATACATCCACATAAGATCAACACAGTAAAATATAAAAGCATCTTGTTTCTTAACAGAGATCGTATGAGTAAAAAGTAACGGTAGTCTTCTATTTTATTTTATGACGATTTTAGTGGACATAAATGTTAGATTAGATAAAAAGACAAAGTCATACAGGATAAGGTAATAGGCGTCTTTTTATAGCGACTCAGAATATTTGCACTAAAACATATACTTCATAAAAAAAATACATTCTTTCTCTATCATGTAAAATTTATAATACTCTTAAATAGCACTAAAACTAATAGACAATAATATTTGTAACTATTTTTTTCTTTTGATTTGACAATAAATATCAGGGGAACGAAACACTACTTGAAATAGTTGTAATGAATATACGAAGGTGCAGTAGAGAAATTAACTCTTACAATGGTTGTTGAAGTTAATATTATCAATTAACGATTTTTGAATATAAGACGTAGATGGTGAAAAATAAAAATACTTAGTTTTTTTTCTTCTTCTTCACATACTAAAACAAGTAAAATTGATAAGATGATATAACGAGATCTTTGATGTGGCTTCGGAGTGCATGTTGATTCATGTAACGAAATACTCAGTGGTGCTCGACGTATGGCTGATTCATAAAATCTTAAAAAAATATGCAATGACCTACCTATCTATATATTCGTTGATGCTCGTAATCCCATCAATTGACAGTTGAAACACTCATCGAACGCTTGCAAAAGGCGAGTATGAAAAATATAACTGTCAAGATTTATCCTAAAGCCTTAAATGAAATGAATAAAAGCGAAATTATCAACGATATTTTACTTTGACTTGATCATATTATATCATATTCTACTATGACTATCAGCAACAACTGTTGAGATGCACTGTTCATGGTCGTACATTTTACAATCATAGTTTTGAAGTCTCTATGATGACAATTCTTCATTATATGTAGTAATATATATCAGTAGTTAAAATACCCAGTTTTTTTCATAACTCTATTTGACAATAATCAAAAAGCAGTTAGAAGAAAATTAAAATGTTTATTTACTTTAAAAACATGTGTGAATAACAAGCGCGATTAAATAAACTAGTTATATACATATATAATAAAAAATAGTCAATAACAAAGTTAAATTAGAACAAAAAATTAATATTTCTTTTTGAATTTTAATAACGAATTCTGTTTTATGTTAAATTAAATTTAGTTGATGGACAACCGAATTGATCACCAAATATTGGATCTAACTTTTTAATTAAATAATTGAGAACCGGTACTGCCTCAGTAACACCGGCATCTACTTCTAATGATGTAGCTGATAAAATGCCTTGATATATGAAACATGCAGTTCCACTAACTGTTTGGTTATTAGTTTCTAGTTGTTGAGGATATGCTGTGAATGAATTTCGTGTCCCATTATTACCTCCAAATAAAACTGGGTTTGCCAGAAATAACTTTAACATCTGTTCGCTAACATTGACTAATGAATATGGTGTTTTTCGTTTAACCCAGTTACATGGAATTCTTTCTGGAACTCCTCTCCATTCTCCACAATCTGTTTTTTGTGCACCAAAAAATGGTGAAATCACATTTAATCGTGGTACCATATCTGTTCCATTTGGAAATACTTCATAAACAAATGAAGCAGCACCATAAAGTAAAAGTGCTGGCGGTGCAAAAACAAACTGTCCATCTTCTGCTTTTGATTGTTGATAACGATCATAACGAAACTGAGCCATAGCCTCCCAGTCAAATAAATCATTATTTTCTCGTGCTCTATCATACATCATTTTAAATAATGTACCATTAAACAAAAAGTTATTACCATTTGCTAAATAAAAGTCATTTCTTGTTAACGATGCATCACCTTCAAATCTATTGTGTCCATTTAACCCAGGAGGTGTTGTTGAATTACTAGATACATCTGATGATTGTCTACCAATTGATAGTTTACCTGTAATTGGATCACCATCGAGTGCAACGCCAAGTGTAGTTAATACTATAGCTGTATCAGAAGCAAAATTATACAAGTCTTGTTGCATTGTGACTAATTCATCAAAATTTGTTATTCCAGTGCGATTAATATAACCATGATTTGCTGCTGTATTTAAACCTGGACAAGGACCACGAATATCATTTGGACCTGGAGGTATAAAAGGATGGTCTGATGGTTGATTACACTTTAAACCCAGTTTCGAAGCTAGATGAGGAAATGAAATACATTGTTCGACCAATATTATCCATATAAAAAAGATAATTGCTGAACTTTTGTAATACATCATAATAGTTACTGTAATATTATTTAAATCTAAAAATATTTATATATTAATATACCGAAGATAATCTATTCGATTATATGACCATATTGAATGTATTAGGGATAAAAAATATACAACGCAGTTGATGTAATATTCATGCTATTTATATATATATATATATATATATATATATTATTGCTAGTAGGTTTGTTCGTATTTGTTTTATTTTAAATAGATACTGAGTATATCCATCGGTTAGTCATCTATGTAAGCAGCCTATATATAGTATCCTTATGACGTTAATAAAAGATAATGCATCGACTTGATTAATGAGGGGTTTTTATTCTTAACTGTATTGAGTCATAGTTTTGATAAATCATCAAAAAAGCTTCTATTTATATGAATCGAAAATCGACGAAGTTTTATTTCTTTTGTATTCTGTATTTGCGTAGATAATGTGTATAATACAATCCACGTGTACAGTGAGGTGTGTTTATCTCACTAAAATTATCTACAGATGCAAAGAAAGACTCAGTCGAAATAAAACTAATTGTCTATTTCGTAGAGAATAAATTTAAAAAACTCATACGGAATTTTTAAAATACACAATAGCACCTAGAAAAATAAAAGTATTCGCTTTTTATTATATAAAATGTGACAAACGTTTGAATATGTTTATCCTATCTACGTAATTGTGCTTATCGGTAATATTATCGATCGATTACAATATATGCTCAGTCGATGACGCATGAATAAATTATCTTTGAAATTGTCTTTATTACAAAATACTTGTTCTATACTAGAAAATATATTTAACAAGAAAATCTCTGATCATATTTTTTAATTGCAGATGAAAGACTTTAGAGTATTTTTTCTAGTATATAATAATGCATCGATTTAATATTTTTCTTAAATATTATTTCTGTTAGTTTCAAAATGTTGTAATGTCATTGTCTGACAAATAATTTCATGGAAATAGAATACATCATTAAGCTTTATTTATTAATTGCTTATTAATGTGAAATAAAATAAAATGACAAAACAATTATTTGCATCAATTAAAGTCAGAAGAGCCAATGTTTTTGTTATATCGACTGTTCCATTTGTCAATAATGAATGAAAAATTAAGTGTGTGATTGTTTATGACGAATATTAGCTTGAGCATTTCCATTTGCAAATGATTGTATTGTAGTATGATTAATATTAATTGTATTGTTTCCAGTTGCACATCCAGCTAATCGATAGATGATCTTAGCACATTGAATGAATTCATCACGAAATAATTTTGATGTTAAACAATGAACATAGAAGTTGATCTATACACAATATATGAAAAGTTTTATATTGATTTTTTATTATATGCATAGTTAAAAAATTATTTCTATTAAATAACTGAAATAAGATGAATGGAAATAAAATTTCAAAATTAGAACTCACTCTAGCAATGAATCTCTATATTACTAAAAAAAAATAATTCTTCAATGACTTACAGCATAGTTTAAAGTTAGTAGTATAGTGAGTATACTCGTATCACTGATAATTTTAATTAAATCAGTAGTTTTACCAGCAGAAATTTCATAGGCAGCTACAATTTGTCGAATACTAACAGGTAATGTTGTGACAAAAAATATCATGATACTAGATATCATCAAAATCAACATTTGTCGATGTAAACGTGCTTGACGTAGTTGTTGCGGCTGATTCATCGCAACTGTTTGAATACGAGATTTTGTTTTTTGTATAGTTCGATGAATGTCAAAAGTACTTTGCAAATATAATGAGAAACACAAAAAGTAAATGAAATAATATGTAACAATATATATCAATAGTTAAAATATCCAATTTTTTCTTATGATTCTATTTGAGAATAATCAAAATTAAGTAGTTATAAGAAAATCGGAATATTTATTTACTTTAAAAATATGTGTGAATAACAAGCGTGATTAGATAGACTAGTTATATATATATAATAAAAAAAATATTCAATAACAAAATTAGGTTAGAAGAAAAAATTAATATTTATTTTTAAACTTTAGTAAAGAATTACAAAAAAATAAAAAATAAATTCAATATAAAGTTTGAACTAGATTTCTGTTTTATGTTAATTTGAATCTAGTTGATGGACAATCAAACTGATCACCAAATATTGGATCCAAGTATTTAGTTAAATAACTAAGTCTCGATACTGGCCCACTAACACCGGTATCTACTTCTGATGGTGTAACTGCTAAAATGGCTCGATATATGAAACATGCAAATCCATTAACTGTTTGGTTGTCACTTGTTAGTTGTTGAGGATCTGCTATGAATGTATTTGGTTTCCCACTATTACCTCCAAATAAAACTAGATATGGTAGATATAACTTTGACGTCTGTATGATAACATCAACTAATGAATATGGTGTTTTTCGTTTAATCCAGTTAGGCGGAATTCTTTCTGGAACTTCTATCCATTTTCCACAGTCTGTTTTTTGTGCACCAAAAAATGATGAAATCACATTTATTGTTGG